AGCTGTAATAATTTATCTCAATGCTATGTAGATGTATTACATTTCATTAAAAATATGTCAATCCAGAGTAAATGTTATCATTTAAAGTCTAAAGTCATGTTGATCTGATCGATTAGGTTTTCGTAAGATTTCTCTACTAATGCTTTGGATTCTAACTTGGCATTACAAAATATCCAAGCAGTGAGAATGCAGTACAGTGTCTCTGTGGCAGCTGGCATTTTATAAAAAAAACTAGATGCAAATATTATGAAGGACAGCAACTGTTTCTGACCGACTGTAATATGCACATGGTTATTCAATTGATGTATGTTTGTCTAAATAATACTTATACAAATAATTTTCCCTGTTTTTTCTTTAGTTCCCTCTCGAACAATGCTCTGAAATCGGTTACAGTAGCAGTAAAAAGAAAAGACACTTCTCAGAGCCAAGTCAAGGAGAAGAAGAAAAAATGTGCTCTTGATGAGATCATGGAGGTGAGCTTTAAAATACAGTAGAGTTGATTTACAGAATAATAAATCTACATGAACAGTTTGTTGTGATTAGGACATCAGCCTTGCAAGCTACAGACCTATTTAGCAAAGGTGGGTAAAATAAATTCTAGGTCATTCTTCAAGTGCATCTGTTATCCGAATGTGTCAATACATCACTGCATTGGTAATAGACATGTATTTATATTGGCTTATAACGTTGAGATCTAGAAAGAAGCTTGCAATGAGTGTGCTACTCCAATGTCCAGTACAACATCTCAGAATGCTTCGAGCAAGGCTGCATGCTGGCCACTGAGATGGCAAATTTTGGAGATTTGTAAATGTGTTATGAAAAATGTTTAATTTTAGTTTGTAATCTGGTTACAATTATTAAATTGTTCTAAATATTGTCTAAAATGTAATTAGCAGTGCCTGTCTGCTAGGTAGCGTCTTAATTCCTATGGAAGCAGTAAGGTTAGTTAGTTTTTCACACATGGTCTCTCCATTTTGGCTTTATTTTTGTTATCTATATCATGACATGATGTAATATGTCATGTGTTGTTGTATTGACCTAATTTTAAGATATGCTAGGAACAGATGATTGTTATGATTTCCTGATATGTAAAACCATAGAATTCAAAGAGGTTATATTTTCTTTTTCCCCATGACTGTAAACATCAAAAAAGTTCAAATCAATCTTTTTAATGTTTTTAAATTTTCAATACTTACTTTAATAGTCTTTCAAAGTAGACTCTTTCATCTTTTCCTGTAGTGATTAAAATCTGTATGAGACAATATTCTTTATTTTAAGAGTGGCATTCTGCCATACAGGGAAGAAAACAAAAAGGTCTTAGAACATCTCAAAATATAGCAGAACATTTCTAGCATGTAGTAATGGTTATACAAAAAAAGCCATTATAGCATGCTCATGTAAGAGATAATATAAATGTAAATGTATTTTGTAGATGGAGGAGCAAAAGAAAAAAACAGAACGGACAGATAACTGGTTACTTCCGGTGAGTACTAGGCGCTGTTACTGAATATACAATTTAATCTGCTGTATAGTACATATTATGTGCAGCCAGCACACAACAAACAAATTTACACACTGACAGCACACAGACATACATAATTGTGGTGGACAGAGAGAGAGACTGTGGGGGAGGCAGGGGGTCTGACATGTCAGCTTGCTGACATGCTTTATGTGTAAAGGGTATGAGGTCAACATTTTCATTTTACAAAATAGTACAGATTTCACCAGAAATTGTCACGTTTATAAATTAACCTAGATACACCTCCCTTATCAGACAGCCAGCCCTGTTACTTTCTGGTTTGGTTAGATCAGTGGAGATAAACTCAGGAGGCAGCAATTGCTCAGTGAACCTGCCTTGCATAGACTTCTCAGTGAGCTGTATTGGGAAGTGATTGAACAGCCATTGAAAGCTATTTGTACATATAAATACACAAAAATAAGTCCTGCGCTCAAACTCCCACTACTCTTGGGCAACAGCAATGACCATAGTACACATCTGCCCCAGTACATACAGTACAGTTGTAGGAGTTTCAGCACAGGACTTATTTTTGTGTATTTGTATTCACTTTTTTATCACACAGCTACGTTACAATGCTGCCGCCCATCCCATGTGTTCCCTATTAAGGGTTAATAAGTATATAGGGATTTAGAAAAATCTCTTTAGAGATTTCTTTTCCTGAAGCTCAGGGAAGCAAGGTGAATAGTCAGTGTAGAACTCAGCAAGATGTTTAAATTGACGTTGCAGGTGGACATCTATTTGAGTTACTAAATAACCTAATATATACTTTCTTCTAGTCATACCAGTTTACAGGCTGACATCTGACACTCTTTTATTTACTCATGCTACCTATTGCTGCTCAGACTAATGCTTCCACGTTATCCCAAGCAGAATAGGGTTATCGGATGCTGAGGACATTCTTTTAGCATTGAATAATTTTTAACTCTGAATTGAAGGACTGTACCAGGTGACTCCAGGCATTATAACCACTTGAATGAGATGTAGCAGATACAGTGCCTACAGTATCTCTTTAAGAGTGATATGGTCCCTGACACCTGCAGATTAGTCAGTTGAGTGGTTATGGTGCTTACAGTGTGCCTTTTAATAGCTCTGGTCAATTCTCATTGTTGATTAAGGTGTTTGTTTTTCTGTCAGACACAATTTTTACCTTGCAATTTTAATCTATGAAATGTCATCTAGGTTTTTCTATTTTTATTATTCTTGTTTATAAGCACCAAATTACTCCTCAGTGCTTCTCAATACATCCTGATTATTGTTTTGATTGTGTGGCGGGCAGACCAACTTGATGTTGGTTTAAGAAGTTATTTTGTAACGTTTATGTTTTGTTTTATCTTGTAGGATATTATTGTGAAAATTATAACAAGGAGGTTGGGAGAAAAGTATTACAAGAAAAAGGCTTTAATAAAGGTACTTCCAAGAAAGAGATGCATAACTGGAGTGTAAAGATGTTTATAAATTTTAATCTACAAATAAGAGAAACATAGCATCTATCTTATTTTTTACTAAGATATCTTTAACCTAGAGATTTTGTGGAAAGTTTTTAAATCAATAAAGGGCACCAGGTAAAGTCTTCATACTTGCATAATTGGTTGTAACGGTCTCTATAAGCACTGCTGACCCTTGTGGGGTTAACACATTAATGATAGAGTATCCATCCTAGTAATTCTGTTCTTAAAACATTAATAAATAGCTCCCAAACTTTGCCTTTAGAGAATTCAAAGATCAGTGATGGCATAGAGATTATTATATCCACTGTTGAGAAGGAAGAAGTGACTCTTCATGTTGTGTGTGTGTGTTTTTTTTTTTTTTTTGAGCATTCTATCGTGCTAAATATATCTCCACTTACTATAGTAATACTTTATTTCATCAAAATACTTTATTTCCAGTCAGTGGAAACATTTATTTATTTTAAACAATTCAAAGTATATATCATTTAAAAAAAATAAAAAATAAAAATTTTCATGACATGTCTATTGGAGTAAAACAAATGTAAGCTGCATTTTTTTTAGAAAACATTTTTAAAAGTGTTTTGCGACACTTACTTAGCTCACCTTTTTAAAGTATCAAATATAATACTTGCATGTTGGAAAATGTGCATCTAGTGCAGATACATTGCACAAACAAAGAACTAAATGAGATTGCACAATAACTATTTAAAGAAACACTAGCGACGTATAAAGCGCTTCAGCTTAAATTTTAATATTTCAGGGTTTTTTTTTAACCATCTTGAAAATGAGGCTAAAGAGAATAGCTTTGCAATTCCCACTCTGTTGTTGTTATGGTGTTCTTCACTCCAATTTGTAGTAAATCGAAACAAATTGTAATATGGTTAACTTGGCAAAATTCTCAGACTCTGCTCAAGTTAGAGCGTGATAATTTTTGCCTTTCATAATTCAAATTGCCACAACTCAGAGTTTACAGTATAAACTACAAAGCATTCTTTGCATACTTCATGTGTATTTGTGCATTTTTTTAATAAAATGATATTCATTTTATACAAAGGGGAAGTCTCATTCATTCTGTAAGGAAAACGCTCTCTAACAAAACAAGTGATACAGAAACAGAGGGATAAGTAAAGGTAGAGGAAAAACTGTTTTGTTCTGACATATTTTCTATTTCAAAAATCTAATGTTGGTGTGTATATATAGGGTGTCTGATGTCCGTTTAATTTAGTACCCCTTGTGATTGTGCAAACATTTTGCAATCCCTGTTTTTATTTCTAATGCTAATTGTTTTGGTCTCCTTGCTTTTATGAGGGTTTTACTGAGAATACCAGAATTGTTTTATTCTTTCATTTGCAGGAAGTGATTAACAAATATACAGCAATTGTGAAGCTTATTGATTCAGGGGATAAACTAAAGCTGGATCAGACCCACCTAGAAACCGTTATCCCAGCGCCAGGTAAATCTATATTCTAGCTACCATTTGTCACTTCTTGAGGTTATCTACACTGTATGAATTAGTAGTGTTTGTCCATCAATAATTCTTAAAGGCATAATTTCAATCTCAAGTGAAGGTGGTAGTTAATATAACAGATACTTCATATTAATTGTAACTTTGTGATTATCTAATCTATATCTCATTACCATATGTGTGTCAATATTTTTTTTTTTTTTCCAGGTGTACATATTTATATTTTATTTTCTAAATGATAGAGATCCTGATCAAGAGAGTTATTTTGCTCCTAAAGTGGAATTTTGTTTTGCCCTTACTTCTAAAACAATGGTGATAGAGACCATTTTAAGCACACTTTTTAAAATTTGGTATATCATGTGCAAAAGTAATAACTGCTGTCGTTGGCAATGTTTTTTCTTTTGAACCAAAGCTCTTAAATTATCTACAGTAGACATTGCCACAGGTAGATGCCCAGGTGTTGTAACTATGACTCACATAATGCCTGGCCAGTTTTAAGACTTTGAGGATATGAACATTTTAGGACTTCATCCATCTGATGATCTACCTTGGATGGGCCTGTGACTTCTAAATTGTGATGCCTGTGTTCTCTGTGGCCTCTGGGTATTGAAGGCATGAAATTCCGCAAAATAGACTTACAGGTTGCATCCTGGTATTTGGAGTTCAGTCACGACAAAAGCTATATATCTGTATGAGACTAGGTGACAGAAATACTGCTCAGCTTTAATAGTTTGTTGGCTAAGAAAGTGGAATTTTGTTTTGCTCTTCCCTAGCCAGTGGCTAGAACCAGTTTATATGTTAGATATGTCATATGGTACTGCTGACACATTTTTTTTCTACTGTTCTGTAAACTGAATTTTAATCACACACAGGAGGCTCCTGCATGGTCTAGCAGGCTATTAGAGCACATGAGAAATTCTAAATTAAACACTGCGCAATAAAGGTAATTTAAGCATTGGATATCTTTACAAAACGTGTTTAGAAAGACTGTGTAAATTGCATGCAGGGCGTTGTGACGAAAAACAAAAAGGGATTTAACGCTTTTTTTTTTTTTTTTTTCCAGGAAAGAGAGTTATTGTTTTAAATGGAGGCTACAAAGGCAATTTTGGAATCATGGATTCTATAGATGAGAAAAGCTTTTCTGCTACGATTGTAATTGACTCTGTAAGTAGCTAACCTTGGAGATTTCACTATCGATCTAGCCCACATATGTCTATATGTAACTAAAAATACACATCCTTGTTTATAAACTCTGAAACACATTTTGTTAAAGTAACACTTCATGCACTGTAACTACTATTTTGCCTGGCGCCTCCAATTGTAAAGACTCAAACCATTTTTGAACGGTTTGACTTTTTACTTGGTGTTTGCACCTCTCCGCCTCCATTACCATTTCGAGAGCTGAAAGTTACTCAGGTCAGAAGAGCTAACTGAGAAGTTTCTGCTATGTCTTACAATGAGGAGCTTAGCTCATTGGCAGAGAGCATGGACTGACTCTCACAAGAGCTAATGGAAGCTCCTGCTCAAGTATCATTCAAAATGTTCATTAAAGGAAACTCCAGCTCAATCCAGAGCTCAGTCGCACTGTCACGGTCAGAATTATACTGTAATTTTTGAAAAGTTTGATTTCTTACCTGGATACCCTAACTCCCCTACCTAAGCAGGAACTTCAATTAGCTCTTGTAAGGGTCAGTCCATGCTCTCCGCCAATGAGCTAAGCTCTGTGTTGTAAGACATAGCAGAAACGTCTCGGTTTTATTTGATTTTTTTATTTTTTTTCCTTGCAGGGTCCCTTAAAAGGTCGAAAGTTGGATGGTATCCCATATGAAGACATTACGAAGGTTCCATAATTGCTGGAAATGTCTGTTCGAAACAAACTCTACTGTGTCAGGGTTTCATGTATATTGTATATACTTTACCTGGCTAAAATAATGAAAGAGCTGCTACTTGTAAATATTGGAATTTCTAAATCTTTCTACAATATGTTTATACTTTTTATAAATGGATTGGTTTTCAGTCAACTTGTGTTTGGCATGTTATTAAATAAAAGCAAATGATTATTTTTCATAATGTTGTGAAATCGTGCATTCTGTGCCCTCACTTTACTCTTTCCATGCTGCTTCATTTTCTTTTCTTACCTATTTTTGTGAATCCTGTTTCCCACAACCCGTGGATAATCATTCACTTGTAGCACAAGAGGTTTATCAGGCAGGTCTGTAAAATGGAATGGGGCAGCTGCTCATTAAAGCCTTCCATTTGATTCTTAAGTCATAGAATAGTTCAACTGCAAATAGTCCATATGTACCAATATAACATTCATAATACTCAAGGAGAAATACAATCACATGAAATAGAAGACAATTATAAAATGCTTGATTTTGGAATATTTGCACTTGAACTTTTTAATGTTTTGAGAATGAGGTGAACGTTTTAAAATGCTTCACTCATTTCTGCTGACCTGTCTGATAAACAATTTTACTTTTTGTGCTACAATTGTCCCTTCTAGAGTTGGAGCTCTAAGCTTTGGTCAGTCTAGCAGTGTTTGTGGGTTAAGTGTTTTGCACATATTTTATATCCATGGATTTCCTCTACAATTTCTTGTTCTCTGTAAACTGTGCTTGGATGCTCTTGCTGATGGCGATTTAGGAATGAAAAGAAGCACACACAATGTGCTTCCTTGGTTGTCTGTAAAAATACAAATCATTGCAAGGTTAAAATATAAAGGTAAAGTATATACCCTCAAAACCTGCTATGTTACTTGCCCTTAATGGACTTCCTGGGCAATTTGTGTGGTCTGTATCTTCGTAAGCAACAGTAATTACAATATTTGGGACATAGTTTAGACAAACTACATTTAGGAAGAACTTTTGTTGACTATAATTAATAGGATGATTTGCTAAAGACAAAATGCATTTGAATTGAAAAGTCTAGAGTGGAAAAAAAAAGATGTATATTTGCCCAGACAATTGTCATTCTCTTATTTCAGCCAATTTAGAGATTAGCCTTGAATGTGCAAATTTGAGGCACAGTATTTTATTTTATTGTCTACTAAAACAGATCAATTACACACATATGGAAATTCATACCAAATTTATGGTATGTATTTTAAACCCAGAAATTCCCACAAAATTGGCTATTTGGAGTCAGTTTTGTAGATGTATGTTTGTTTTCATGTAAAAACTAAATGTGCGTGCTCATAACACTTTTTTGTTTAATCTGAGACAATGCCTGGTTCCTACTTCCCTTTCATCATCTGTGGAATATGGGAGTAAATTTAAAAAAATGGAAAGCCCTGTAGAACCCTTATACCAACACGAAAATGCATCCCCCCACCTGGCTTGCAGCTTGTAAGGGATGAATTTAAAATTAAACAGATACATTCATGGGAAAAGCCTGCAGTGACCGGCTATAGACCTCAGAACCACTACATTAAGTTGTAGTGGTTCTGGTGACTACAGTGTCCCATTAAGAATTGCATTTCTGTTATTGAAAATAAAGCTGTTGGTTTAAAAAAACAAACTGGATTATAACTTTTTATCTGTCTCCTAGTTTCAAAGCAAATTTGTCAAGCCCAGCCCTAGATAAATTGTATTCACTTAAAATGTAGCCATGGTTGCCCATGTACACTCACTACTTGTTCTCACCCAACGTAAAATAGCTTTATCAATTCCTCCCTATCAAGAATCCACAGTCCTCCTGGTTCCAAATACCCATTTAAAAATTAATATTAAAACCCTGACTATCTAGTGGGCTAAGTATATGGGGAAGAATCTTCCATACATTTTTCGTGTAAAAGAAAAGATTTTCATTTACCATACAGTGATAAAACAATGTCACATTTTCTGATCATTGATTTAGCTATGCCATATAATGCAACAATGCAATCTTGTAAACCTGTTGTAAAAACAAAATAAATATTTGATGCAGAAAATAATCTCAGGATGCTGGTAAGGAATTGGTTTTAGCACTTTTACACCTTCCTGTGCAGTATGGGGACAAACATTACCAACTTACTACATTACCATTGCAATTTTAATCCCCTGCAGCTGTTTCCTGGGTAGAAGTGGTTCCAAAAGACTTCTATTAGTTTACTGGACATCTGTGGTACAGGAAGTGAGGGGGTATCAGAAAAACAAAGGATTTCATTTGGTTAATGGGGTGGTATGTGGTACCCTCACACTAACTGTCCAGAGCTGCTCCATAGTGTATGAACATGAGACCTTGCTGCCCATGGTGTGTAAGGATAGAATGGACACCATTTCACAACATGGGATAAAAGGGAGACCCTCAATTTGTTTTCTGCCCACATATATATATATATAATGTACTTGTAGTCTGGGCCAGACTGAGAAGAAAATTAGGCCTGGGCATTTTTTAATTACAGTGCCCCCTCAAAAAAGGGGGCAGGGACAAATAGGGTGTGTTTTATCACCTATGACAAGCACGCCCCATCACAAAGTGAGCTTGTTGGTTCAATGTTCTTCCAGGGCAGACCATGCGCAGAGCTCTGCTGAAGAGTTCTAGCATGAGAAAAAGACCATATATTTGTCCTGCACAGGGCAAGCAAATTTAATAACATGCTTGCACTGTGTTTGCTTGAAATTTGTCTCTGGTGTCTCCATAGATAGGATACCAGGAGACAGAAATGCCAGGAAAGAGTATTGTGTACTGTGTGTGAGTGATGGGTGCTGTGTTTGCGTGAGGGTGCTGTGAGTGTCAGGGATTATATCCCCCCTCCCTTCTTACCTGTAGCCTGGGAGTGCCCCCCTCCCTTTTTACCTGTAGCCCCCCTCCTTTCTTACCTGTAGGGCTAGAGTTCACTCTTGCGAGACCCGGAGCGTTGCCATGGCAACGCTCCAAATCTCGTGAGTGGAATCTGGTGGAGCTGCAAGATAGAGCTCCTCCGGGTTCTTCTCCTGTCTCCCTTCTTTTCTCCCCTGCCGACGGCCAGATTACACTGCATGTGGGCCGGTGAGGGAGATCTTTGATCTCCTCACCGGCCCGTCATGGAATGCAGCAGAGCCGGTGCTCGGATAGTGTCGGCCTTGCATAGACCTGCAGGGGAGATCCCGGTGGCCAGTACGGACCTGTTTGTAGTCAGGGACAATAAGCAGAGTTATAGGGAACTTGCTGGCATTTTGGGTCTGGACTGCCAATATGGGTGGGACCAGTCTGATATGCTTCAGATATGTTCTCTCTGTAATGGCACAAGAAGAGCTAAAACCAGCTTGAGATCTGAGCGGGTACTCACCAAAGGGCAGGCTAATTCAGCTGTTGCCCGTTCTCACCTCTCTTGCTGCCTATTTTTTTCCACACAGATAAAACAAAACATAAGGGAAAAATGCAGTTTTCAACAAAATAAGTGAAGAGACATGTGGGTCTCATGCAGGGCAGGTGTAAGTTGAGTTTAGAGGGGTGTGTTTGAATTTGAATGCTGGGATGTATGCACACACATACAGCTACACACAGATACACATACACACTGACATTACAGACACACATGCATGCATTTAACCACACTGACACACATACACACAGAGTCACAGTTGCAATTGACATATTTTTAGCCACTCCCCTGTTCCATACCATTTTGATGCAGGAGAGTGGCTTTCTGGACTGCCTGGAGATGATGGGAGTCTTAGGTAGTGGTCAGTGCTCTCCCTTCTTCCCTCTCTGTGCCTCCTCCATCCTCCCAGCCTCTGCGCAGCCTGTAAGATGGTAGGAAGTGACAGGAAATCACTTCCTTCCAGCACTGACATTAAAGGGGTCTGGTCGCGATACTAAAGAGCCGCAACCTGTTATCCTGGTGGACGTGTCTTTTGTGGGCTGGACTGATGTCTATGCCACTGATTGCATCATGAACAGGTCTGCCAGCTTGCCATGCTCCCACTCACCTGATGTCAGATCTGCCAAATTATTTCTTAATTAAAGTCACTCAAGGCCAAAGTGGCCAAAATTGAAGCATTTTCTAAGCCTCTAACTATGCTCACAGTTATACATAAAAAAAATACAAAAAGTGGAGCGCTGATTAAGATCAAACAAGAGATAGGGAAAAATAGGGGACCTAACAACCTATATAATATAAAATATATGAATAAAAAACCCTTTCTCTTCTAATGAATATAAACTAGCAGGTATATAACCTTATAAGTACACTGTAATCACTTAAAAACTTAAAATTCTATTCCATTTATTAATAGTCTACCATCACAAAAATGTGTGAAGTAGACTTACTCTCATAACAAAAGAAAACATTTAAAATAATTTAAAAGACAAAACGAAAGAGTCCAGACCTTATTAGAAACTCGGCGTCCCGAGTCAGCAAGTTGCAAAATGCTGTGAAAAAAGAAGAAAATAAGGGATGCGGGTCCTCTTCGTGATGCAGATGATGGTTAGTATTGATAGGAGTCAGACCTCTCCAAACGCGTTTCTCCGCTTCGCGGCTTTTTCAATGGATGCGGTCTGACCGCTAGTGATCGTTTTTATAGTGTCCTCCGTTTACTATACAATTGTATCAAATCTTTATTATGTTAACACGATGAATCATCTCTTCATATCTTCCTACCATATTGTATCAACTTCTTCGAAAAATTTATACATATTGTACGTTTGCATTACTATAATAATACCCGCCCTTTTAGGCAGGTTTAAATATAACGGCCACAGTTTAAAACAAATCAGAATAAAAAATCATAATAAAAAATAAGCTAAAAAATGATTAGTCTATATAGTGACTCTACATTTGATACTATCCTTATTATAATAAGAATACAAAAAAATAAAAATTAAAAATTAAAAATTAAAAATTACCAGACAAATAATAAAAAAAAATAAAAAAAATTAGCCAAGAAAATGACAAAGCTCAAATTCAGCATTCAGTCCTTTAGGTTGTAATGTATCCAGCTTATATATCCATTGCATTTCGGTAATCCCTAACTGTTTATTGGGATCACCACCTCTCCAATTCTTATTAACTTTACATACCCCTTTAAAATTCAGAAGACTCATGTCCAAGTTATGTTGCTGTTTAAAATGAGCAGAAACCGAATGCTGCATATAGCCTTTTTTTATATTTAACATGTGTTCTCTAATTCTTACATACAGCTTTCTCTTGGTTCTACCTACGTATTTAAGTCCACACGGACACTCTAGAACATAAATCACATTGGTACTCTGACAAGTGATGTGTTCTTTTATTTTACATGATTCCATCTTTTTTTTATGGTTACTTTTTGTGACTTCAAATACTCCTTTTGTCTGTGTGTTATTACTTGTCTTACATGCAATACATTCCAGGCAATAAAAGAAACCATTCTTTTTTGTTGTAATTGCTTGCTTACTTCCTTTTAGATGACTATTAGTTATTTTCCTTTTCAGATTAGGTGCCCCCCTAAAAGTGATTTTAGGTCTTTCTGGTAAGTTGCTGGCAAGAATTTTATCTTTTTTCAATAAATGCCAGTGCTTCATCAGTATTCTTTTTAATTGCACATTTTCTTTATTAAAATCTAAAATAATTGCTGGAAATGTCTCTTGTCTTGTTGCATGCGATTTGTCTTTGTTCTTTAAGACATTTGTACGGTCTATATTATCAACTTTGCACAGAGCATCATCTATTTCGTTACATTTATAGTTTTTAGACAAAAATTTCTTTTTAACAGTATCTGCCTGTTCCCTATATACTTCGAAGTCTGTACAATTTCTCCTCAGACGTCTGAATTCATTATAAGGTACATTTTTAAGCCATATAGGCAAATGGCAACTTTCTTTAAGGATGAAACTGTTCACGTCTACTTCCTTGAAATGCGTTTTTGTTTTGACTCTCCCAGAGTCTATATAAATGCTAAGATCAAGGAATTTGACCTGTGTTTTACTCCAAGTTGTGTTCATTTTCACTCCCCAAGTATTTTTATTTATATACTCTAAGAATGCTTGGAGGTCTTCTTCCCCATCTTCCCATATAAGGAACACATCATCGATGTATGTTTTGTATTTGTGAATGTTGGTATTCCAGGGATGTGCGTTCCAGATATAATTGTCTTCCCAATCCCCCATGAATAGGTTGGCAAAGCTAGGGGCAAATTTCGTCCCCATAGCAGTTCCTTTCTTCTGGAGGTAAAACCGATCTTCAAATAGAAAATAATTATTCTTTAGGATGAATGCAATCCCCTCTATTATGAACGAAATTTGTATGTCTTCCATTTCTCCATACTTGTTTAATGCATTCCTTACAGAATCACAACCTTGTTGATGGTCAATAATTGTATACAGAGAAGTCACATCCATGGATACTAAAATATTGTTGTCTTGCCATGGAATAGAATCCAATTCTTTAATTATCTGTGTAGTATCCTTAAGATGAGACTTAACTTTAGACACATATGATTGCAAAAATGTGTCTATATACTGTGACAAATTTGAAGTGATCGAATTAATGCCTGATATTATTGGCCGACCAGGGGGTGATGATATATCTTTGTGAATTTTGAAAGAGAAGCAATAAAGGATTTAACTAATAACGAAAAGATCTGCATTAAACCAGCGGATAAAGGGGGTGGAATAGTTATTATGTCTAGTGAATATTACTCAAAAGAAGCAAATAGGTTATTAGGAGACCCCACAACTTATGGCATATTATCAGTTGATCCTCTTAGGAAAATCAAGATGGAACTTGAAGTTATGTTGGGTAATGCTAGAAGTATGGGGATTTTAAAAGAATCTGAATACAGATTTCTTGCTATTCCTTTTCCAAAAACCCCCACCTTCTACTTTCTACCCAAAATTCACAAAGATATATCATCACCCCCTGGTCGGCCAATAATATCAGGCATTAATTCGATCACTTCAAATTTGTCACAGTATATAGACACATTTTTGCAATCATATGTGTCTAAAGTTAAGTCTCATCTTAAGGATACTACACAGATAATTAAAGAATTGGATTCTATTCCATGGCAAGACAACAATATTTTAGTATCCATGGATGTGACTTCTCTGTATACAATTATTGACCATCAACAAGGTTGTGATTCTGTAAGGAATGCATTAAACAAGTATGGAGAAATGGAATACATACAAATTTCGTTCATAATAGAGGGGATTGCATTCATCCTAAAGAATAATTATTTTCTATTTGAAGATCGGTTTTACCTCCAGAAGAAAGGAACTGCTATGGGGACGAAATTTGCCCCTAGCTTTGCCAACCTATTCATGGGGGATTGGGAAGACAATTATATCTGGAACGCACATCCCTGGAATACCAACATTCACAAATACAAAACATACATCGATGATGTGTTCCTTATATGGGAAGATGGGGAAGAAGACCTCCAAGCATTCTTAGAGTATATAAATAAAAATACTTGGGGAGTGAAAATGAACACAACTTGGAGTAAAACACAGGTCAAATTCCTTGATCTTAGCATTTATATAGACTCTGGGAGAGTCAAAACAAAAACGCATTTCAAGGAAGTAGACGTGAACAGTTTCATCCTTAAAGAAAGTTGCCATTTGCCTATATGGCTTAAAAATGTACCTTATAATGAATTCAGACGTCTGAGGAGAAATTGTACAGACTTCGAAGTATATAGGGAACAGGCAGATACTGTTAAAAAGAAATTTTTGTCTAAAAACTATAAATGTAACGAAATAGATGATGCTCTGTGCAAAGTTGATAATATAGACCGTACAAATGTCTTAAAGAACAAAGACAAATCGCATGCAACAAGACAAGAGACATTTCCAGCAATTATTTTAGATTTTAATAAAGAAAATGTGCAATTAAAAAGAATACTGATGAAGCACTGGCATTTATTGAAAAAAGATAAAATTCTTGCCAGCAACTTACCAGAAAGACCTAAAATCACTTTTAGGGGGGCACCTAATCTGAAAAGGAAAATAACTAATAGTCATCTAAAAGGAAGTAAGCAAGCAATTACAACAAAAAAGAATGGTTTCTTTTATTGCCTGGAATGTATTGCATGTAAGACAAGTAATAACACACAGACAAAAGGAGTATTTGAAGTCACAAAAAGTAACCATAAAAAAAAGATGGAATCATGTAAAATAAAAGAACACATCACTTGTCAGAGTACCAATGTGATTTATGTTCTAGAGTGTCCGTGTGGACTTAAATACGTAGGTAGAACCAAGAGAAAGCTGTATGTAAGAATTAGAGAACACATGTTAAATATAAAAAAAGGCTATATGCAGCATTCGGTTTCTGCTCATTTTAAACAGCAACATAACTTGGACATGAGTCTTCTGAATTTTAAAGGGGTATGTAAAGTTAATAAGAATTGGAGAGGTGGTGATCCCAATAAACAGTTAGGGATTACCGAAATGCAATGGATATATAAGCTGGATACATTACAACCTAAAGGACTGAATGCTGAATTTGAGCTTTGTCATTTTCTTGGCTAATTTTTTTTATTTTTTTTTATTATTTGTCTGGTAATTTTTAATTTTTAATTTTTAATTTTTATTTTTTTGTATTCTTATTATAATAAGGATAGTATCAAATGTAGAGTCACTATATAGACTAATCATTTTTTAGCTTATTTTTTATTATGATTTTTTATTCTGATTTGTTTTAAACTGTGGCCGTTATATTCAAACCTGCCTAAAAGGGCGGGTATTATTATAGTAATGCAAACGTACAATATGTATAAATTTTTAGAAGAAGTTGATACAATATGGTAGGAAGATATGAAGAGATGATTCATCGTGTTAATATAATAAAGATTTGATACAATTGTATAGTAAACGGAGGACACTATAAAAACGATCACTAGCGGTCAGACCGCATCCATTGAAAAAGCCGCGAAGCGGAGAAACGCGTTTGGAGAGGTCTGACTCCTATCAATACTAACCATCATCTGCATCACGAAGAGGACCCACATCCCTTATTTTCTTCTTTTTTCCACAGCATTTTGCAACTTGCTGACTCGGGACGCCGAGTTTCTAATAAGGTCTGGACTCTTTCGTTTTGTCTTTTAAATTATTTTAAATGTTTTCTTTTGTTATGAGAGTAAGTCTACTTCACACATTTGTGTGATGGTAGACTATTAATAAATGGAATAGAATTTTAAGTTTTTAAGTGATTACAGTGTACTTATAAGGTTATATACCTGCTAGTTTATATTCATTAGAAGAGAAAGGGTTTTTTTATTCATATATGCTCACAGTTTGGCTACTATGGCCTTATGTTTAAAACTCCCTTTAAATTCTCACTTTAGTGAATATTCCTATATGAATTAGCCACAGACAAATGTTATCTAAATTTAAAAAAAAAATACATTGCAAGAAGAAAAAAAATGAAAACAGGGATGTGGAACAAACTTTTATGGATACTACAACTGAAAGAGATAGGCAAAAGAGGAGGAGCTAGAAAATAAGATGCTGTCAAAACGGTACACTTATATAATTTATTTTCTTTTACACAATGCTTGAAACATCACATGTAGTTTGCTGAGATTGATCCAACCATTACTACAGATTTTGTATCAACGGTTTTGTCAAAATTAGAATTTTGTTCACTTGTTATCATGCATAGCATATTAGATTGGGTTCTAAAATTAAAATGATAAAATACTAAAATAAATGTAAAAAAGAAAAGTAAAAGGACACATGGCTTATTATTATGGTAAACATCATTGTAAGTTTATTAATATTAATTACAGGTGAATACAGTAAATTGGCTTTGATGAACCACTTGTTCCCAGACCCTTGTTTGGTTGTAAATTCCACTTAGACATGAAAGCCAAAAGTGATTTGTCATTTCAATTTGAAATATGGATGCTCCACTTTGGAATATTGGTTAATGAGTAACATGCTTCCCTAACAAGGATTCCTACAATACTGGAAAATATTTGCTCTTTCAAAATAATGTACTACAATAAAATAGATGACTTGTTATCCTCCTTCCATTTGATAAAAGATCTGGCTGTGGGTAATGCCTTTCAAGGGCGTTTGAGAAAGCTGTACAGACTGGATACAATGTAGTCCTTGTAATGTCCATCAATGAAACCCTTTCCGTTATTGTGCACAAACCAACAGGGGACATCATTTGCTTCCCCACCATTTGTCTGATACTCCTTCTGCACCCCTCTGCAAAATGCAATAAAAAAAGCTCAGATTACTAACAGTTGTAATTGGTGTACGGCATGTATATTGCTGTGTTTTGGTTTTTTTTGTGTTTTTTTTTTTTTTTAACATAATTCTATATAGCCTAGTGATCAGATATATAAAGAGCAGGAAAATTTTTCTATTTTTTAAACCTTGATTTTAATGTTGGTAAAATTAGTAGGCACAGAAGTTATGCCAGGACTAATTGCCTCTTGAAGCTTGGTCATATCATTTTTTTTTTTTTTTTGAGGTATGGATAGGTAGGTAGTTAAACCTTTTCTTCTTTTCTGAGCAAGTCGTACAAGCCATAAACATAATTTTTTTTTTTGCAAGAACATTTCACAAGAGTATTTGATGTTAGTTTAGAAAAGTGAATAATAGAGGAAGTATAGATGGTATTGCACTTTTCACAACATAAAGAAAACAAAACAGAATGTAGTTCTATTAGTTTATACATAGATATGTGAGATGCTATAAGGTACCATAGAATTAGTGAAAGGTGCAGGAGATAAAAACCACTGGGTGGTCAGTTAGAATTAGCACAGGTGAGCAAGGTACTCATACAGTTAGAAAAAACAGCTTGGGCATAAGGAACATTGTGAACAGTGAGTTCAACAATAAAACAGCCTAACTGTAGATAGGCTTCATGCATCATCCATTAATGGAGAGTCCCAACTTCTACCGCCATCTGTCCTCCGGCTAGGCTTTTCCATTCAGCCCATACACCCAGATAATGTCTTGACTGTTGCTGGGCTTTTCTCTTGGCAAAGCCAGCTTCACAACAATATGAGGACCTCAGAGTCCAGGTACTTTAGCAATGTGTATGTAACAAAACCTTTTATTCCTATATATGGCACTGAATCACATAATATGTAATGATACATATATATATATATATATATATATTTAAAAGCTTGTTTGTGCATAGCAAGACAAAATAAATTTATAGTGAACTTGTGTAAAATCAAGCTCTGGGCAATATATAAAGGGGACCTGTGACTTGTAGGGTCTCAATTTTTTTTAAAGAACTTTGCAACTGACATGTCTATGATGCAGTCTACGGTCAGCTTTTTTTCCTTTAATGAAAAACATAGACGCAACAGATCTGCTTTTTTATGCACTCAATGCTAAACATTAGTGAATTAAAATCGAAATGGCAAAATTCAGGCTAAAACAAGCTAAAGCTACCATCTGAGCTGCATCTACTGCTCCACTACATGTCAGTAGAATATTCTTACTCTTACAACCATCAATATACTGTTTACAGTGAGCACTATTGTTTGCCGTTTTTATCTTTTATATATCAAACTACACATTGAGGGACAAGCCCCCAGATCTACATATCCATCAGTGGGGATTGTACTGCTGCATGCTGCTAAACTCAGAGCTGGTCTTATAGCTCTCTCAAATGTGAGTGATATACCATATACATTATTGTTGTATGTCCTGCACCTAGTTCCATATGCTCTGCATCATATTTTGTATATGTTGTTTTCTCTATATCTTTCAGTAAGGGGTTGAGGGTGACCCTTACTATTAGTGCTTGCTGCCTGCTATCATATCATATCAGTTGACACTCTAGTGCTTTTCCAATCTGTATATTTGTTTGTAACTAAAGCTGAGTTGGAGCATGTTTCCAAATCAGCTATTTGGTCCTAAATGTTAAAATTTTTGCCTCAATCGTGTACTACAATACAGGATTTAGTGAATAAACACATCTGAATCTCACCACACAGTTACACTGGAAGAAATAATCAGAAGTGAATTAGTAAATTTGTCACTCACCTTGTCACAGTAAGTGTCTCTCCTTTAACATGCATTGTAGCAATGGGCTTTTGTGGATCCTGCCCAGACCTTATATCATGGACAGTTGTTATTGGCTCATGCATAAACTGGCCTGGATAAAAAAAAAAGGGAGAGAATCAATGAATTTCAGTTTCATATTTTATGTATATATAATTTATAATATCAATGGTGAACAGGACATTGCACCTAACAAATAGATTTTACATTGGAGCTTAGATGTTCTCATGCCTTGGCACATATCTCTGTATATTACAGACCGAATGCTGGGATATGATATAGTTGTATGTAGAATGTCCACGAAGGACCACATTAAACAAGATTTGTTCACAGATTCAGTGGCGTACATACTGGGGTTGCAGGGGTCGCGGCTGCGACCGGGCCCGGCCGCCCTGCGACCCGGTATGTACCCACTGTGGCCATCCTCTTCTCCTGGGGGGCCCCCGAGGCTGGCCCTGGTGTCATTCGGCGGGCAGGCTGGCAGTTGCGCGAGGGAGCACTCTCCCTGGCTGAGTGCTTCCTCTTCAGCTCCCTCGCGCACCGCACTGATACCGGAGCCGGAAGATGACGTCATCTTCCGGCTCCGGCATCAGTACGCGACGCGCAAGGGAGCTGAAGAGGAAGCACTCAGCCAGGGATAGTGCTCCCTTGCGCACCCGCCAGCCTGCCCCAGACACCACTGGACCCCAGGGAATGCCCTCAGCACTCCCACAGGTAAGGAGGCTGGGGGGGATTACATTTTTTTTTTTAAAACGCGAGTGTGTGTGTTAGTGTTAGAGTGTGTCAGTGAGTGTGTTACTGTGTGCGTCTGTTACTGAATGTGTTAGTTTGTGTATGTCTGTTAGTGAGTGTGTATGTATGTCACTGAGTGTGTGTCTGTTAGCTAGTGTGTGTGTGTGTCTTAAGCACTTACCTTTCTCCAGCGCCGGACTCCCTTGGCGCTGGGGATCTCTCCGCCCTGATCCACCTCTAAGCTCCGAATAGGCATGCGTGGTGGGCATGCGTGGCAAGAGCCGCGCGCGCATTCAAACTGCCCATAGGAAAGCATTACGCAATGCTTTCCCGTGGACAACCAGCGTCTTCTCACTGTGATTTTCAATGAGACAGCCACTAGAGGCTGGATTAACCCTCAGTGAAACATAGCAGTTTCCCTGAAACTGCTATGTTTTCAGCTGCAGGGTTAAAACTAGAGGGACCTGGCACCCAGACCACTTCATTGAGCTGATGTGATCTGGGTGTCTGTAGTGGTCCTTTAAGTGTATGTGCATCTGCATGCACTGGCGTACATACCATGGTCGCAGGGATCGCAGCCCTGCGACCCCTGCGACCCCTGCGACCTGGTGCCTGCCGCCATGTGTTGCGGCCCCAGCCCGCACAGAGTAAGCGCGCCGGGGGGGATCAGTTTTCGCACCTGGGCCCCATGGGTTGTGTGTACGCCACTGCACAGATCCATGCTCTCCTCCTTTCTAAGAGAGACAAGCGAGGATATGGCTCTGGAATTTTGGTATACTGCATGGGATGCACTAGCAAGGAGTGGTGGTTTTGGAAATCACTTTAAAAGCAGTGGGAAGAATTGGGGATCTGTTATTTCATATGCCTCACTGCTATATTAATAATCCTGTAGGAATGATGTTATAGATGTTACCAAAAGATTTTTTGTTGCAGAGGGGTACTGCATTAATCATTTACTGAATGCTTACTAAACAAAACCATCATACTATATCTTGTAAAGGGTACATACCTATTAAGCCATGGACTGAAGAGGAGAACTTGTTCTCAAAAGGAGCATAAAGTCCAAGGAAATCTACATTAATTGGATGATTCTTCCAGACACGGTGAAGAATAATCAGGAATGACAGATTCTCATTCACTGTAATTGTGAAATTGCTATTCCTCTTCACAGTCAAAGTAAGGCTGAAAATTGAAAGCAAGTAATCTGCATTTAGTCAGGACTCTGGCACACAAGGTATCTATGTCAACAATGTATAAATATATGTATGTCAACAATGAAATCCAAAATATAATGAAATAGAAGGTCAATTTTTTTTTTAAAATTACAAATAATAAAATAAAAAAATCTATTGGAACACGTAAAGACTAATTACTTTTTCCTGGGGCGTGTAAAAGGGACACTCCACTGCTAAAATACAAAACAAATAAAAATCACTGTTCTGTAGATAAACCTCAAATGAAAACTTACATGCATTTACTTATGCATTTTTCCATTGAGGTATATCTTAAAACAATATGTAAAAGTTGCAGTAATGCCTTTTGCAAGTCCTCCCTATCTAACCCAGCCGAGATTTCTGTGTCTGTCCAAACACAGACTTCCTAATGCAGCTCAGTGAGAAGTCTTTGCAAGGCAGGTGCTCTGAGCCATTGCTGCCTCCTGAATTTAGTTCCGCTGAGCTAACCAAACCAGGAAGTAACAGGACCAGTTGTCTGATTGACACCCAGGGGGTGTAGCAAGGTCATGTTGAAAAGCGTCAATTCCTATTGAAATCTGCAATTTTTTTCAAAATGAAATAAAGCAGATACATTTGTTACACATAAATATTTTCAGCAAGCTAAAGTGCTTTAGGGGTCTGGAGTGTCCCTTTAACTCTAAAATGTCCATTGCAAAGAAACAGCTGTTCATTTCCATGACTCTCTGCAAAAGCTGTTGAGAGGAACGGCGCATGTCATAACTTTGTTTTGTTTATGGAAATGCTTAGTTTGCGTATATATCTCAGTTATGTTCAAACTGCTCCTAAAACTGATTCCTCATGCCACCCATTTCAGTTGCATGGGACTGGGAAGGTAGAACTTGGCATTGTTGACAGGAGCAGGGGGCATGCCAAATATACTGTGCATATAACAAGTGACATGCTGGAAGAGTTTTGGCCAGGACCCTTCAAATTAGCCCCATGCAGATCACTGTTTAAACATTCTCTTACGGACTGAATGCCTAAAGGTTAGATTGCACAGAGCCAGATTTGCAGATTTAAATCTAGCATCACAAACAGAGTTAATTTTCGATAGATAATCTTGAGTGTTTTCTTTGTCCTATAACAAACTTGAAATCACCATATAAAAATTGATCTAGGCCAGTACTCACCTATTGATCATCATGCTGCAGGATTCAGACCAGGGCATTGTGTGGGTGTAAGATTCATCTTTCACAGTTATTTTCTCTGTGCTGATTTCAATCTTCATGTTGTGTTGCTTGAAATACATGCCAATTGTACCAAAATAGGTATTTAGTTTGCTATTCTTTTCTTTCTTTGCAGATACTATTCTTCCGTTAACTCCAATTCCTACGTAAACAAAAGCAATAACATTTTTATTTCCTTAAATAAAAACAACTTTTTTCTTGTAAACTGGCAAATACGAGTCATCTTTTTAGCGACAAAACCAAAATTATGCCAAAAAAAGTGATTAGTAATTAGTATGTGGTGTACAGAAAAAAAAAAAATACAAAATTATGTAATGTGTGAAAAAGAATACTTATATACTCAGGAGAGTAATTGTTTGCAGTGTCAATGTGGGCGAGAATGCATGGGCATATTTGTCACTTACCTAATTCAGGATCGGAAAATAGGTTCAAAATATTCCCAGGCTGAGAATCAATATTAAAACAGACGTCAAGATCGCTCATTGGTAAATTTATGATGAAATGTGGGTCATCATCAACTAAAGAAAACAATGTAAATATGGACCGTCAGTTTATATATTCTGTAGTATCCTTATGTAATTTTTAATTGTAGGTACATGCATTATTATATAAGACTTTTTATTATCCCAACTACCCTGTTTGCTGTATCAGAAGCTTAGGCGTAAGTTGATATATTCTTATTTGTTCACAGAAAAAGGACACAACAAAGAAAATCCTACTTATATTATCATAAGAGTGGTTAAATCTGTTGGCTAATCTGCATGCATAACCATAGGTGACAGATCAAATAGAAAAACAATCCTATAGATGTTTTTCAAGAAAAATAAATATTTTTTTCTAAAAACCCAAACATGGCAAGTCATCTTTAACCCCTTAAGGACCAAACGTCTGGAATAAAAGGGAATCATGACATATTACACATCATGTGTCCTTAAGGGGTTAAAGGTGACACTATCCCGAAAATGTTGAATAATGTATATTAATGCTAACACACTGGCAGTATCCACCAATTGCCTATTTAGAGGTTTGGGACATCAGCTCTTTTAAATCTCATTACACTTATATCATATTTGCCAACATTGTCAGCCCTCCATCCGGGCTGGAGATAAACAGACAAGGGAGCCGGCTGCCCAGTGGGGCAGAAGTATTACTAGTGCTGCCTGAATGGTTGCAGGCAACAGTGAGAATCAAAGTGGTAAAAGTAACCTCGTCTTTAACAGTTGGAAGTATTTTCTGCATTGACCGATCTGAAAGTTCTCCTCAATCAACAACAAACACACCCAATGATACAAAAATCTTGTACTGGAGGACTTCTACTAATAACCTGCCTTGTACTCAGTTCAGCAAATTGTCTATGACATCCAATGAACTTGGACAACTTGATGCAATTTGTTAATAAACTTTCCATTTTTAGATCTATGTATCTATGTATCTATGTATCTATGTATCTATGTATCTATCTATCTATCTATCTATCTATCTAACAATCTATCTATCTATCAATCTATATATATACATGTATATTTAGGCTTACCTGCTATACTTTGCTTAAAAGGGGTCTTGCGTAGATTCTGATGCAGACGGATAGTAGGGTCTTCATTGTTTGGTGGTTGGGTGATAATCATTATATCTGTCACTGACCCTTTCACTTCAGAAGTAGGTGATGATGTTGGCATAATTAATGGTTTACTTTGAGGTTGTGTTTGGATATGCTTTTTACCCACGATCAGTGCTGTTTGAAAGAAAAAGTCGCATGCATATTTAACTTTATTACATGCTGCAAAAAACAAGGCGTCTCATCATTTTAGTGGTGCGGCCATACTGAGTTGAGCTCACCCATCATATCAATATGCTTCTTAATAAGTGCTATGAAAGACTGATACATTCAAGAAGAGCCTTTTGAAACAGTTAAAACATTAAAAATAAATAATGTAAGCAGCATATTTATTTCCCATACCGGGATCAGCTAAGGATCCACAGATATTAGGTTACTTTCAGAAATGCCCATATGTTGCGCAGATCCTGGTTGAGAAAGTTTTGCGGTGCCCTTATCCACACAAACACATACATGATCACATGTATGTGTTTACATGACATAACAACTAGCCACTTGCACACATATATTACGATCTACACATATATATATATATATATAATTATCTATACATATGCATCTAATTACCTACCTATATACATACATACATGCTTACCAAATCAATTAAAAACACACATGCATACAGACCAGCACACAAACAAGTGCTAGTACACATACATAGACTATGATAAAAAAAGATGCAAACTAGTTCACATATACAGACAAGTACTAACACTGATGCACACTAACATGTATACATAGTCACACTCTAGCCATTAAGGAACACTGCAAGCACTGTACTCACTACAGTGCACTGTGTGGTTAAGGTGCCAGAAGTTCCCTAGCACCTCCCAAAGGTGAATGAGCTGAGTCTTGAGAGCTTCAAGCTGAGCGGCAAGGAATCAAACTATTCTGAAATGGTTCCATCATGATTTGCATGGGGTGACATTAGGGCACTCCTGGCCACCACACGGCACAGATTTTAAATTCGGTGAAGTGGGAAAATGTAGTGTATAGCACGCAAACTATTACGTTTTTTTAGTACTGTTGCGCATAAAAAAAACTCTCACAATGAAAGATATGAAAGCTAGTTTTGTTGCTAAATTTACCAACAAAATATATTAGTTGACATAGAACATCTGACAGCCATAAGATGGAGTGAAAATTCCAGTGGCTGTCAGGTGGTCTTTATGTGAGCTAATGTATTTTACAGGTAAATTTAGCAACAAAACTAGCAAAAACTTTCCTTGTGGGAGGTTTTATTTGAAAAAGCAGCTGGCTTAGGAAAATGCAATAGTGATGATAATGAATCAAAATATGTAAAGGAAAATGGATGGCTAACTACAATTAAGGATTTGTTATCCAGATAAAACTTTATCCATCCGACAACCCCACTTGTCTCCCTTACTGTCTATCTTCTCTCAGGTGATGATCTTCTGTCTTATGCATCTTTTGCATTAAAAAAAAAAAAAATTACATTTGAAATACTTATATTTGCTGTATATCATCAAACTTTACAGCTTCTGAAGTGAACTCTGCCCAGTTCAGGTAGTAACTCAACCAGTCATTATGCCCTCTTAGCTTTTTTTTTATAGCTAGACTGATCTAACGGTAGTAATTACTAGACTTGTGCACAGCAAAAAAAAAATTGGTTTGTCCAAATTGATCCATCCGAAATAAAAAATTGGTTTGTCCAAATTGATCCATCCGAAATAAAAAATTGGTTTGTCCAAACTGATCCATCTGAAATAAAAAATTGGTTTGGACAAACCAAATTTAATCCAAGTTACATTTCAGTTGGGATAGATTTTGTTTCAGAAAAAATATTTGGATGTACTAAAATGGAGCGAAAATGCACATATTAATCTACTTGCAATTGGTGAGTCATTGGATCATTGTAAAAAGTCTGGTTTGTATATTGATCTTTACGCCGTGATTGTCTATTTGAAATGTAATTTCCTTAGAACTGATTAACAGTGTGACAGGCAAGTTATACCACCAGGTTATGCATAATTAATTATGTTTCAGGAGACATAGATAGGCATTAATATAAATGTCATTTTTGCTTTTTTTTTTAAGTATGATTTTAAACATACAGCATTTACTCCCAAGACCACATTCCTAGCAGTTATAAGGAGAAATAAAGTGTAATTCTTATTGGATCAATCAATAGGTAGTGAATCAACAATGCATTATGGGAATGCGCATCATTGATGGCCTTTACACTTGTGCATGGCCAAAAATTATATTTGTCAAAAAAAAAAAAGGATTCAAACAGACTGAAAAGTGTCCATGTGGAGTTGTGGAATTCGGACGAATTGGCGATTGCCCAAAATTTGGATGAATAGCGATTCATTTGAAATCAAATGCACAAGTCTAATAATTGCTACACATCAGCTTCTTGTGGTTACAGTGTGGTTTTCTGGGAGTTGTAGTTCAATTGTTAGATTGCTATTGCAGAAAACTATAATTTCAACTACAACCCCCAAAAATTCTGTGCAGCTTAATAACATCATGTATAGCAGTATGTATGGAACAAACAGGGAAACACTGCAGGTTGGGTGGGATGGATGGAGAGATTCATTAATTTAAAAAAACAAAAACCACATCATATCGTACCTAATGTGAGGGTATCTGGAGAGCCCCTTTAAATATTAATTTAAATTCTAGAAGTACATGTTACTAAAATGCAATCTGTAAGCAAGTATTAGTTGAAAAAAAACCTGACTTTGACAGCAGCCTCCTTTTGGGTCTTTGGGAGCATCAGCCAACATCCTTTCTTTTCCATCCTCACTCTCTATCAGCAGAGAGGTGAATGGTGTGACAAAGTGATGTTCAATAGACAACTGCAGGATTGACTTGGTAATGTTCCGTTTGGCTTCAGCTGTTGTAGCTAAATTCCTGTAGGAAACACCACAACACATATGTATGCTATAAGCTGAGCATTTATTCATATTCATTACAATAAAATTATGTCTGGATGATTCCAATAAATGTCTGTACTCTGTTTACCAATCAAAATACCATTCTAGTCAAAAGCTAAAGTCCTCTTAAAACCCAGTACTATATCCTCTGATGACATCCATTTACTCTAAAAATATATCTTTGGTAGTGGCTCCCTTGTGCCTTAAAAGATAACTGTAAGCACCATCACAACTTTGCAGAGTTTGTGGAGGATAGAGCACCCTGTGCCAACTCTCAGTTCTGAGAATGGATTTTTAAATATTGCTACAGCTCTAAATTCAACCCTTAGAGCTGTCAGTCAGGCAGCCTGATTGTTCTCGGTTACCTGTGTTCATTTTTTCCAAGTTTATATAGTAGGAATGCATTCTATTAAAAGTGATAAACTTAACTCTGGTAACTGAATATCATTTTTCCCTTTGACACCAATAGGCTCCTCTAATTTGTGCGTGGCTCCTTGTTTAAATAAACTAATACCTTCCAGAAGCCTAAATGGTCAAAGAGGGAGACTTTCATTTTAGATAGTGTGACTTTGAAGTGTAAACATTCAACCAAGGGGACTTGGTTCACTAATAGTTAGCTATTTATATCAATTAATTTGTCATTTATAACAAGACCAAAAGTATATTTTCTAAATTTTGTTTTTTTTTCTAAAACCATTTAGTGCAGTTTAAAGGCCCATTGGTGTGAGTTTTATTGCTGCAAAATGCTGTTATACACACCAAATATGAGGAACCCCAATAAAGGTGACATTAGGCTAGAAAGGAGGAACAGATAGATTTGGGTCCAAAACAGAGTTGGTCTGTTGTAAAGAGGGACACTTGGGAGGTATGTAAGTATCAGTTTTCATTAAAGAAAATATCTTCACATTTTCACTACTTATTGATCTTCTTAAAGGACCACTCTAGGCACCCAGACCACTTCAGCTTAATGAAGTGGTCTGGGTGCCAGGTCCTTCTAGGGTTAACCCATTTTTTTTATAAACATAGCCGTTTCAGAGAAACGGCTATGTTTATTAATGGGTTAAGCCTTCCCCCTAATCCTCTAGTCACAGTGGCTGTCTCATTGACAGCCGCTAGAGGCGCTTGCGTGCTTCTCACTGTGATTTTCACAGCGAGAGCACGCCAGCGTCCATAGGAAAGCATTGTAAATGCTTTCCTATGCGACCGGCTGAATGCGCGCATAGCTCTTGCCTCGCGTGCGCATTCAGCCGACGGGGCGGAACGGAGGAGGAGAGAAGGAGGAGAGCTCTCCGCCCAGCGCTGGAAAAAGGTAAGTTTAAACCCCTTTCCCCCTTCCAGAGCCAGGCGGGAGGTGGACCCTGAGGGTGGGGGCACCCTCAGGGCACTATAGTGCCAGGAAAACGAGTATGTTTTCCTGGCACTATAGTGGTCCTTTAAGTTTCCTTAATTATACAGAGACACCCTCCCCCACATGCTTTCCAAATTCCAGGGTTGGTGGTTTTTGTGGTAACTTACCTCTCTGCTAAAAGCTGGTTAATAGTAAGTTGGGCCCAGTATTGCTTGGCAAAATCAGGGAATGCATGTTTACTCTGTTCAAAGAGCTCGTTAAGAGCTTCCGCTTCTGATGTAACATCTAAAAGTAAATCTGCATTTGCCTGTGTGAAGATATAGATCAGAAAAATAACAAGTCTTTAAGGCACTGGTTAAACTGTCATACATCTCCCACAATGCTTTGTATTGTGAGCAATGTTTGTGTGTTTGCATGTAAGCATGTTTTTGTATGGAATATGCATATGTGTGAATGTAGGAGTGTATTTATGTACAATAAAAATTATAGAAAAAAGTTACTTGCGCACTATCCCAAATCCCTATTTAATTGTGCATCAGTGTTAATTTTGTTGACGAACAATTTTAGTCAAATTTTAGACGACTAAAATGTTTGAGATTTAGTTGACTAAAACTAAACTACAACAATTCAGATGACCAAAATTAAAACTAAAATTTGTTTTAGTCAAAAGACTATGACAAAAACTTAATTGAAATTTGCCACCAAAAATAAAAAAAGAACAGAGGGGATGTGGAAGGGACAAGAGAGACAGACCAGGGCTTAGAAGAGAGACACTTAAAGGGGCTGTGAGGATACAAAGAGACACAGAGGGGTTGGGGAAGGGGCAAAAAAGACAGATAGAGGCTAGTGGAGATTTAGTCGACTAAAACTAAAACAACGTTTGAGATTTAGTCGACTAAAACTAAACTAAAACAATTCAGATGTCTAAAATACGACTAAAACTAAAATGTCTTTTTAGTTAAAAGACTATGACTAAAACTAAATTGAAATTTGCCACAAAATTGATGCATATAGGGATTTGGGATAGTGCACAAGTAACGTTTTTCTTTGTTTTATATTGTATGCAATAGGGTTAATGTATACTACAGTCATTGCTGCTGCCCAGGAGTAGTGGGAGTTTGAGCATAGGGTTTAGACCAAAGATATAAAAATATGAGGAAAACTTCCTCCAATTGACTTGATGACGCATGAAGTGTACAAACATATAAGTAAATTTAGGATGCATAATTTGAGGGTTGGAATGCTATATATTCAGTGGCCCAGTCCTGTAGAAAGACAAAAAAGTCTTCAGGTAAAAAGATAACACTTCCCACTATCGATGACATAACCAGAATAGTAGAGGGACAGATTCATCATAAAATAGCTGCTTACGCAGGTGACCTATTATTTTTGGTGTCCAACCCTGAGATTTCCCTTCCATATATAGTGCAAAATTCGGTAACCTCTGACACTTAAAGAAGAATTGCACAAACGACACATAACATAGACACTCCGAGCAGGCATGCCCTCCCGCTCTGCCAGAGCTTTGCATTCCCATGGTCAGATTTTAAAATAAAATATCTGGGTATCTGGCTTACAGCCAGTCCATCTGATCTTTACTAGCAGACTTTTGTTCCTATGATTCCTACTTTTTAAAAGGAAAGAGAGTGGTCCTACAAACACATATCATGGTTTGGAATTTATTCTATATTACAAAAATGTTCAGACCTTCCTACAAAGCCCACATGGTCTTGCACCTCACTCGCGCTCCTAGGACAAACAATAACAGGTCCATCACGATTAAACTTTTAAATATAGCTGAGCAGGTAGTCCCCCAGTTTTAGAAAAGAAAAAAGTCAGTTCACTACTTGGAACCTGGTTTACTAGTAACGTACTCTGGAAGAATTATATTTTGAGATGAAATTAACCTATATACCTCAATCTGGTCGCATACTTATTACCTTGCTACCTAAGGTGGACTTTCAGACAGCTCTAGGCTAACTCCACCGCAGAATTGTACTAACGAATAGTGATGCAGGAACCTGGAGGCCCACCTTTTTTCCCTTTGTTTTAGTTGCTTTTAGGTACAAGTCTATCTGCAGTCTACACATAAAGGAGTAACGTTGCAAAGTTTTAAAAAAGGGAATATTGCCTGTTCCTGGTTACAGTGAGAAAGCTTATTAGCAACACAATTGTCTAAAATAAACTGTAGACTCAAGATTTGATTCCTGTAGGTCCTGCGTGTCCACACTAGAGGTTTACTGCACCATGCTATGCACCATATATATTTATATGTCCTGCATTTTAAGTGAAATATCAAGTACTTAAAGAAACTTACACTGCTCGCCGTAATCATACTTTGCAGTGGTGAAATGTTTTCAGGTTTGAGTTTACCAGCCACAACAAGCTCATCACCTCCGAAATAATGGTGAAATGAGTTCTGGGTCACATCTGAGATTCCATCTAGTGGATAGTTGAATATAATGTTTTTAAGCAGAGGAGTGGAAACCTTTTGGTAAAATTCCTGAAAGGCAAACCAAAAAAGAAAACTGTCAATTTATCAGATTTTTGTTTAACAACTAAAAATTTAAAATGTAAAAGTTTACGTAGCACTGTTTCCACGTGCCGAAGGATATAACCGTAGCAGACTGGTAGGCATTTGACATCCACGAACAGTAGCTTTGGTTGATGTATTTAGATGATTCAAGAGCTTAAGTTGACATGCCCTTATAATGTGAAGATGGATTTCATTTTTTTTAAAAGATATCTTATTTTGTAAGAAAGGCCATCCTATTAATTTTGTTTGAGATAAGGGGAGTTATATCTGATTTTCTATTGATATTATCATATTGTACAAGAGTAGAAAGTTGAGTACCACAGGGTCAGTCCCCAATCCACTTCTCTTTCTAATCTTCACTAATGATCTCGAAATGGGCATGAAAGGTCACGTGCCATTGAATGCGGATGACACAAGGTAAGGTAATACAGTATGAGCAGGATATTGCTTTTTGCATAGGGATTTGGATACATTTAGGAGAACATGATGGCAAATGACAGATGAAATTCAATGAAGATAAATGAAAAGTTGCGTTTTTTTTAGATGAAGATCACATAAGCAACTTATACCCGTAATAGTGTTGAGCTAGGAAAACGTGTAAATGAAAAGGACTTGGTAATAATTATAGATAATAGATGTGGGTGTAATATCTCTAAGCATTTCCTACATTTTGGGTGCAGGATGGTGGCTTCTGCTGTTTGAGGCAGTTGGGAAGCAGAGTCTGGTTCTTCCCCCCTCTTCTCAGACTCTGCTGTCTCCTCTCCCTCATGTATAGCTTTCTCTGCTTATGCATTAAATAAATCCAATGCAGGCAGACAGATCCAGCTTGTTTAAATATCTGTTCAATGACATCTGAGAGAATAGGGGGTATTTTAATGTCCGTCTGATTGGACACCCCCTTTGCCTTAGCTGTGTAATAATGCAACAACATGTGCAAACTGGATTTAATGTTCAATTCCTTCATTTTTAACAAGAATACTGGTGGGTGAGAACACATTCTGATTCATGAAACAATTAGTTACTCCATCTTTCCAAAACCAAGGTTGGGATAATGTCTGGCCACCTGCTTGGTAAAATATCCCCTCTCTCCCACGTATACAGGAAGGACAAAGAGTTTTTGAACAGAATAGAAGTGAATAACGCTGTAATAAAATTGCTGCAAACTATTTTTCAAGAAAAATTATTAAAGTTGGGGATCCCCCAGAGGAAGGCTTCAGAGCCGAAACATTGGGGTTTTCATTTCTCCTGCTCTTGGTCAGTATACCTTTTTAATAGGTGTTTGCATTTAGCACTTTGTTTTATATTGTGGCATTGGTATTATAGATTGGATATGCACTACTTTATGCACTTTCGTTTTGTCAAAACCTATTGATGTATTTTTTCAATGCATGAATAAACACTTTTTTTATGTGCAAACCTTGGTGTGCCTTGGGATCATTATTATCTCTATTGTATATATATATATATATATCCGGTGTGGGTACTGATTTTTTCCTTTAAGGGCACCTAGTACTCTTTATACCACATTACTTCTCACCCACTTTCAGTTGAGCCTTTCTTATAATTATATATTTGTATACACAGAATACACACACACTCTCACTAACGGGCGGGCGGCGCTGGTGAAGGAGCACTTTCCCCTGAGCTGTCTGCTCGGCTCCCTCGCACGCCGCAGAGTGATACCGGGAGCCGGAATATGAGTGTGTGTGTGTCTGTTAGTGTGTGTGTATATTAGTGTGTGTGTGTATATTAGTGTGAGTGTGTGTCTGTTAGAGTGTGTGTGTCTGTTAGTGTGAGTGTATGTTAGTGTGAGTGTGTGTCTGTATGTCTGTTAGTGTGAGTGTGTGTCTCTGTGTCTGTTAGTGTGTGTGTGTGTGTCTGTTAGTTTGTCTGTGTGTGTGTTAGTGTCTGTTAGTGAGAGTGTGTGTGTGTCTGTTAGTGAGTGTGTGTTTGTCTGTTAGTGTGTGTTTCTGTTAGTGAGTGAGTGTGTGTCTGTTAGCTAGTGTATGCGTATCTGTCAGTGAATGTGTGTGTGTGTGTGTGTGTATTTAGAAGGCGGGGCAGGGGGAAGGGTGGGGTGGGGTGGGTTGGCGGGGAGGATGTAGGGTGCCGGGGGGCGCCTGAATTTTGTCCTACCTAGGGCAGCACAAAACCAGGATACACCACTGTTCGTATACTGAATAGTAGAAATCCTGACCTTCATTTGGGCAGCAGTGTCCTGGTTTCCATAAATCCTCTGAGCCATGCCATTGTTCTCCTGGGCAAGTCGTTCTAAGAAATCATAGTCCACATCAAACCCAATGCCAAGGGAGTGCAGCGAGAAATCATCTCGATTATGTGTCTTAACATTCTTCTGAATTTTAGACAATTTCAATTCACCTGAAAGAAAAAGTGAGGATTTAACCGTGCATGTTAAATCAAGATAAAAAAAATATGAATTGAGATTGATTGTTCCCTTTCTCCACTCTGTGTCCACTCTAGTTTTATTTTTATTTTGTTTGTGTCTTCAAATATACTCTTATTTTGTTTGTGACTTTAAAGTAACTTAGGGGTTTCCAGGAATTTTTATATCATGTTTATTTATACCTGTATTTAGAAAATATTTATTTGTGTGGTGTTAAAGACACAATTACATAGTTTCAACAGGGCGATGTGATGCAAAAACATCTCAAATGAAGATGATGAATAGACATATTCTCTTCTTCTCTGTATGCTTTTTATATACTGGCTGTGAAAAGATTATAACAATGATTGACAGGGAGCTAAGATGGTGGCGCGAAGTTGCAGGATTGTGAGGTCATTTGCTAAATGTTTAAAAGGAAACTATAGTGCCAGAAAAAAAAAAAAAATTCTTGCACTATAGCTACACCCTCCTCACTCCCCCCCAATTCTGTCACTTACCCGAGTCCAGCGCTGATGTCCCTCTGCGCCGGCTCAGCTCTGCCCATGCTCCGCCCTGCTGACATTGGCTTTGTTTAGGCGACCAAAAGTCACCTATCATCCTGGAAGTCCCTCTAGTGACTGTCTGGTAGACATCCCCTAGAAGAGGAGTTACCCTAGCAGGTAATTATTGCAGTTTATAAAAACTGCAATAATTGCATGCTCAGGGTTAAGGGTGATGGGAGTTTGCACCCAGACCACTTTAATGAGCTGAAGTGGTCTGGGTGCCTACAGTGTCCCTTTAATATACATTTAAAAGGCAATATACCGTATTTTTCCATGTATAAGAATGTGTTTTTTTCAATTTTTTTTAGTCTAAATATGGAGGTCGTCTTATACACGGAATGTCACTGCAGGGGTTAAAAAGAAAAAACGTTTGCGCGGGGCCCAAGTTAAGATGGCGCCTGCCGCATTTCAGTGTACCACGGCCCACACACATACCTGGTCTCCCTCCCACCGATCCACTTCTGAATGATGTGGCAAGGAGGAAGAGGTCCCTATATGCATGGGAGCTGCATCAGACATCAGCACTTCCCACCAACGGAGCTCCAGAGACATGCCACGCCATAAAAGGAGCAGTCATATTAAGGTTTGCTCCACCTCAGGTAGGTCTTGCTATCTGATTTATATTTATGGGGGAGGAAATGGGGATCAGGGAGCAGAGGGAATACTACTGTGATGTCCCAGCATGCCCTCACACTACCTGCTGTATTGTGTGAGCTGCAGTCTCGCAGCATGCATTATAGAGCCATTAACTTTACAGAGTACCGTAGCACAGGGGAGGCATGGGAATCAGAAGTATGTTGTTCTCCTCAGAACTCACTTCTAAAATATCAAAGTTGTTATTTGATGTTTAAAATATTGATTTCTTAATTTTGGGCTATAAAATTAGGGGTCGTCTTATACACGAAAAAATAAGGTAATACCTTGTAAAAAAAAAGTTAACATAAGTTATAAAAAAAGAGAAAATTATTTTACACAAGGTTTTTGGGAATCCTTGGTTGATTTACTGCTGCCACGTAATTATAGTGAGTGCCTAGACCAGAGGTGCCCAAAATGTAGAACCACAGATGTTTTAAAACTACAGCTTCCAAGATGCTTTGTCATTCTAAAGGCATGAAAGCATCATTGGAATTGTAGTTCTACAACATCTGGGGATCTACTTTTTGGGCACCCCTGGCCTAGACTATCCCATTTAACACAAGTTATAGTTGATATTCAGTGTAAATTGCAAAGAAGTTACAGTTCCCCTTTAAGTGCATATAATCCTACAGCATTTGTTGAATTCTCCTTCACCGAACAAGCACAAAATATACCATCGATTATTTCCAACAGGTACTTTACTATTCTTATTAGATAGAAGATTGGAAGCCTCTTTTATAATATTTTATCTTACCCACTGTGGGATCTCCATCTGACACCAAGACAATTAAAGAAACAGAGTTTGCCTCCAACATGCCGAGGTCGCTGGCTTCTTTCAGTATAAATATAGCTCGGAGAAGTGCTTCATTGATGTTAGTTCCTGATAAAATATAATATAAAAAAATATTGCAAAACAATAGCAGGAAGGCATGTTGCTTTAACAGCACAAGTCTTATTGATTAATCATTTTAATACCACAAATGCACAGACTTTATTAAGGAGTCAATTTACTAAACAGTCAATATGCCATTTATTGATATGGGGATTACAGTGTTTAGGCCAAATTTTGGTATCGTATCTTGTTGGTCTCTATATTAATGTTTTGCTTCATACTGAAGAACTAAACTATATCTTTCTTCACCAAACAATCTTATTTAAAACCCCTGTTAGCAATGTAGTTCTGCTATTTTGACCATAAATTGAAATTCACTTTGAATCCTCACTTTAGTAAATAAACCCTATGATATATTCACATCAGCAGCATGGACTTTAAAAATGAATATGAAATATGAAATGACAAAATTGTAATAATACTTCAAACATTAAAGGGACACTATAGTCATCTGAACAACTTTAGCTTAATTAAGCATTTTTGGTGTATAGAACATGCCCCTGCAGCCTCACTGCTCAATCCTCTGCCATTTAGGAGTTAAATCCCTTTGTTTATAAACCCTAGTACCACCTCCTTGCATGTGACTTGCACAGCCTTCCATAAACACTTCCTGTAAAGAGAGCCCTATTTAGGCTTTCTTTATTGCAAGTTCTGTTTAATTGTGATTTTCTTATCCCCTGCTATGTTAATAGCTTGCTAGACCCTGCAAGAGCCTCCTGTATGTGATTAAAGTTAAATTTAGAGATTGAGATACAATTATTTAAGGTAAATTACATCTGTTTGAAAGTGAAACCAGTTTTATTTTTCATGCAGGCTCTGTCAGTCATAGCCAGGGGAGGTGTGGCTAGGGTTGCATAAACAGAAACAAAGTGATTTAACTACTAAATGACAGTGAATTGAGCAGTGAAATTGCAAGGGAATGATCTATACAGTAAATCTGCTTTATTTAGCTAAAGTAATTTAGGTGACTATAGTGTTCCTTTAAGGCAATGGCTGGTTACCTGTTTTTCCTGATTTTAGTTTTAGAGCAGAAACTAATTTCTACATTCGATAAAGCTCCCTGGATAAGAGGAACTATTAAATAATAAATAAATAAATAAGTTGACATTGCTGATATGGTTAATATGTCAACTTATATAAATATGTTGAAACAGAGGCACAACTAAAAACCACAGAGCAATTGTGCAAAAATTGCCATGGACCCACCCTCAATGTGTTCCATTCTTCTCCCCCAGCTCCTCCATGTGTCAAATTTATCACTCCAAACCCCCCCATGTGTCTCATTCTCTGCCCCAGGTCCCCCATGTGTCTCATTCCTGACCCCCATCCCCTCAATGTGTCCCATTCCCTCCTCCCAGCCCCTCATTGTGTCTCATTCCCCCACCAGTCCCTCCACGTGTCCCATTTCCTCTCCCTCCCCAGCCCCTCCATTTGTCCCATTCCCTCCTCCTCCCCTGCACCTCCATGGGTCCCATTTCCTCCCCCTAGCCACTCTGTGTCCCATTCCCCCCGAGCCCATCCATGTGTCCCATTCCCTCCTGCCCCCCCAGGCCCTCCATGTGTCCCATTACCCCTCCACATTCTGCATGTGTCTCACCCCCACCCCTCATGTACCTGCTTGCCGCAGTACTCGGTCTGACAGGCAGTGCTCTATCATACAGCGGCAGGAGGGGAGCAGTACAGCACAGTGCTCCCCTCCTGCAGGTAACTCGGCAACCAAGGGCCCCGGGATGGTGCACCTGTGCACTGACCTTAAAGGTATGCCGGCAGCCCATGCAGCTGCAGCCAGCCCCCTGGAGTGACTGGTATGATATGCTTGTTTTTTTTTCCCTCTCTTTCCTTCCTCACTCTGTAATTCTCACACAAAGTATATATATGACCCTCTGAGAGAATGGTGTCTATTTTCTTTCAGACCTGTGCCTTATCTGTACTCATGTTGCCTTAACTCGAAACTCAACTTTGAATTCTATGCGTCGTTCTTGTCAGAAATACTTTAGACTTGAGAAAAGGAAGTTCTCCCGAAAGCTTTTCTTTCCAAAATTCAGCATCACTGGACTAATACGGCTTCAATCTCTACTGTAACACTATATAAAAACTAATAAAATCTGTAAGCTTTGCGGTTGCTGTTTAGTGGATGTGTGTGTGTGCTGGATCTTGTGTATTATATATGTGTAAATATATGTATGTGCTATAAGATATATATTATCAGCCCAACAGCCAATAATGCGTTTTTGTAGAAAATTCAGTTATTACAATTTTTATCTCTACCTACCTCCGTTTGGCTGTATTCTCTGTACATATTGCTTGGCATCCTCTTTTTCAAGATCAGAGGCATAAACGAGTTCCTCTTTCCAGCATCGAATATTGTGGTTGAAATCGATAATGCTGAATTGGTCATCGGGCCTGAGGTCTTCCAAAATAGTTTTCATAGCCTCAACTGTCTAAGAAGATTAATTACACATTATTATGCACACTGTGGGGTTACACATAAACTGTTTAGCTATAATTCTTTGTCATTCAGCGGAAATTGCAATTATGTAACAAGAAATTTAAATAACACTTTTGAATCAACTATTATGCGTAGATTTTCATTATATCAGAACCGAGATCTGTCCAACATTTGGTGTTGGTATTTGTTTTGTTGGTATGTTGGTATTTGGTACCAAAACATTTCATTTGTGATGTATAGAATATATTTTGTACAGATGTGCTTAGTTATGTAATAAAAACAAATATAAAAAAAAAAGAAAAAAGGACATTTTATATTTCCTTGTTACCTGTTTCATTTTCAGACCCCACATAGAACCACTGACATCAATGACAAATAAAATATTCTTTGGAAGAGGAGGCAAGTTTTCTGGCGCAAAGAAATGGAGAAAATATCCATTGAACACCTAACAGATCCGAAAAAAAAGAAAGATTAAATTACTGTGATTAATTAATTTATTGCAAAAATAAGAGTGTGTGTTGGCACTAGAATAAAGGTAAGTTTAATGGCTTTTTTAAATTATCTAAAAAAAAAATGTATTCATCACCATGCTGTCATGCAAACCTACTGCTTCTGTGTCAGTTGATGGGCATTTCGGTGCACCTAACAACTTCAAGTTCCTATGATGTGGAAGTCCAATAGGCATAAGGAAAATAGCTAGGATTTCATCCTCCTACACTTTTGAGGAGAGATATTTCTTTATCCTGATCTCTCCTGGGCAATCTCTACGATGGAGGAGTTCATCACAACTTGTCGACAAGCTGTTATGGGACTGATAGTGGAACACAACAGTGTGATGTATTAAATAGTCCATGCACAAGGAGCTAGGACAGCCATTGCCACCTGCTAATACCCGACATTTCTGGACAGATGACTTAGGATGTGCATGGAGTCACCCCTTTTGTTCCTGATGGCACATAGCCCATATCTGCAGTGACAAGTACCTGAAACCACCTCACCACTTCAATCTTCAATTTTACTGTATAAATTGGCCGACCTGATCTTTTTTAAAGGTTTTTTTATTTTATTTCCTTATTAAGATCAGTCATGACAGGCTCTGATGTGGACCTTTCTGTTTCTGTTACCCATTATTGACGGCTCCATGTTTTCTTTCTTTTTTTCTTTTTCTTTTTTGTTTTATATCCTGCTAATCCAGCTCCTTTAGACAGGCTGTATTGTTGTTGCATACTTTTGCTTTTTAAAAAAACAAAAACAAACAAATACTCCTAGTATTCAATACCTGCCTTATCTCTTTCATAATTGCTCATGATCGTTGATTGCATTTGAGTATAATGAAACCTTCTGTTGGATGCTTCCTAATTACGATTCTAGCATAGAGTTTCTCACATTGTACTACCTGCTTAAAGCTATACTGTCTGCCTTTACTATTTACAAATAGTGCAAAATTACTTTTTGTTAATTTTTTTTACTTATGTCTGTTTCTGCATGCCATAAATGAAGCATTACAAAAAAACATTATAGATATTTGCCACAAATGTCATGGACTTTGAGTGAAAAATGCACATTTCAAGAACATAAACTCCAAATCCCATATAAAGTCCTTGAGAACATGACTACAGTTTCTAGAAGCATTCTTCTCGTTTATGTCACAGTTTGTCCCTATCTCTGCAGACTGACAGATGTTGCCACCAGTTTGGGAGGCCTGGCTGGATTTGAATTCTGGTCCTCACTGTTGCCAGTCAGTTACACTACCTGTGAGTCACTACAGTTAATCACTAACTGATGTTCATCAGCTTCTGTGTCAATTTGTTGTTAACGTTTCCAGAAGCGTTCTGACAGTTTACTACAATGTTTTTTTTATGTCTGCAACATCTGTGAATGATTAAAAAGGCACAGATGCAAATTCTGAGCTTTTGACTGCTAACTCTAATTTGGCCAGTTCACAAGGAATCCCCAGTTTTCTCTTGTTTGTTTATAGCAGTCATTAAAACAATGTTTATCCACACAAGAAGACCCTGTACCTGCCATACTAGAATGGTGGCTCTTACAATAAGCTTACCTGTAGCTGACTGCTCTGCTCCCGCTGAACATCATATCGTACAACGAGTTTGCCATCCACTGCTGTAGTGGAACATCCGGGACATTCTCGCTGCTCATCCACAGATGGTTTAAAGGAAATATGAGCCTTGTATAAAAGAGAGATTGATGTGACAGTTAATAATTCCATAATAATGATGAAATATTATGATATTGACTCAAATATTGCGCAATGAGAATTGTAACGTTATTGTGGTGATTGGTAAACTGGATATAATGGGATGGATATGGGTATATAATAAGGACAACGGTAGATATGTGAAGAATAATGCCTATCTAACTCTACCTGTGCTCTCACACATTATACACTGTTGTTATAATGACAAACATTTGAATTAGTGTAAAACCCAGCGATATTGCGATACTATGAAGTAGTGGTTGGCTTAACACAATATGGCTATATGATGGTACTGACTCACAATATTTGTTTGCTGAGATGAGGGGATTTTAAGTAGCCTTGTCAAATTTAAAGATGTATTTTTATGTGTGCACTGTTCCTTAAGCTACATTATATACTGTTGACTCTATATGGCTCATGTAGCACAAAATAATGTCTCTCTAGAACTCTATGTGCACCAAATATCCCTACCCCCCCGCATTCATACATTTTATGTTGCATGCTACAATCACCACAGTGTAATAATCGCACACATGCATGTACAGTGAGCAGCAGTTGACATCTCTTCCTTGTAGTGAACCATAGCTAGAACAAAAGTTGTTAAACCGTCAGGGAATGCACAGACAGCATTGTGGGATCCAGATGAGGGTGATTTGTAATTCCCAACAATTTCAACCCACAATAGTTTGACCTCATTAGATTTTGGGGGCTGTGGTTGGCTGTTCCTTTTGAGAATCTCACTTCTTTTAAAAAATGATGGTCAACTTGCACAGTTTAAATCTTGTTTAAATGAATCCCAACTAATAATAATAATATAAACTGGTATGATGACGTTATAGAGCAATCAAATGCAGCTCTCGTATCATGGGATCAATGCCATGGAAGGCTAATTTTGTATAACTATATAAACCATTAATCAAGTATTAGAATTGCCAACAACTAACCTCCTGCAAAGAAATAAAATATTGAAGAGTAGGAGTGGACTGAGAAATGAGCATCAGACTACAGATTTAAAGGACTACTCTAGGCACCCAGACCACTTCAGCTTAATGAAGTGGTCTGGGTGCCAGGTCCAGCTAGGTTTAACCCATTTTTTTTTATAAACATAGCAGTTTCAGAGAAACTGCTATGTTTATGAATAGGTTAAGCCTTCCCCCTAATCCTCTAGTGGCTGTCTCATTGACAGCCGCTAGAGGCGCTTGCGTGCTTCTCACTGTGATTTTCACAGTGAGAGCACGCCAGCGTCCATAGGAAAGCATTATAAATGCTTTCCTATGTGAACGGCTGAATGCGCGCGCAGCTCTTGCCGCGCGTGCACATTCAGCCCAGGAGGAGGATCGGAGGAGGAGAGCTCCCCGCCCAGTGCTGGAAAAAGGTAAGTTTTACCCCTTCTCCCCTTTCCAGAGCCGGGCGGGAGGGGGACCCTGAGGGTGGGGGCACCCTCAGGGCACTATATTGCCAGGAAAACGAGTATGTTTTCCTGGCACTATAGTGGTCCTTTAATGTATAAGAAAATAATTATTAGTTAGGATTTCGAGATTCACAATTTATTTTTAGAAAAATCTTCAGAGACAATAAGATTAAATGTTCCAGCTATGGAGTGAGCCATGAAAATATTGTCTTCAGTTAGAAATTCTAGACAGTTTACTTACCTTTTTCTCTCCTTTGGTTGTCTTTACGAGTGGCGCATAATTCGGCGAAACTGTTACAGGCACATTTACAGAACTGATACCTTGAGGCTCCGTGATGTAGATGTCCGCCTGGAGAACAGAAATGGGGAGAAAGGGAAGAATTATAGAAAAATTCTGGTAAAAGAGCAGAGGTCCAAAAGTGGAGCAATCACAGTGTAAACGCATGGATTCTACAGAAACTGTTTTTTCATGGCAATTTTGTTTCCTGACATCTATTTTTCTGTTGAATTCATGTTAATAAATCTCTCTTTTTGTAATGGCTATTGGAAATATTGCAAAATCCCTGAGCTCTGAATTACATATTGATGCAATGTCTACCTGTCTATCTCCTACATTGTAGATGGCATCAACCTTGAAACAGTGTCATTTATATCCACAGGATCCATTAAAAAAAAATAAAAAACGTCTTAGATTTGTAAGTTTTTTTAGTTGTTTAAAATTCCTCTAAGCCTTAGTCTGTAATTAATGATTAGTAGAGCATTTGGAAAACATTAGTATAATTTCCTACCACTGACTAATCTCCTTGTTATTATAACTAAGTTAACTAGCATACAATTATTAATGCACATTAAATGATATTAATGTAATATAAACTCAAATATTCTTTGTATAAATTACAGGGTAATGCTATGAATTTACAATGATCAATGACACTAGATTTGAGACAATAAAACATACTATGTTGTAGGTGAGTTTTTTTGTTTGCTTTGTTTTTTTACACTATTCACTCGTAAATTTTACCCTTTTACCTCAAAATGTTTTGCCAGTCTGCCTGGCTGAAGATAGACAACATGCTGGTAAACTCCCAAATTCCGACGAATGGTTTCTTGGTAATGAATTTCAAATTCCACCTTAGTTCCACTGGGTACAGTTAACTCTGCTTTGAATTTTTCCATATCAAGAGAATTGGTCCTGTTTATCACACACATTAAAAAAAAAGTTATTAAAATGCTTTTACTGTTTGGTTCTTACATTTTAAATGGCTCTGTTTGCTGTAATCAACAGGATGGATACAGTGAGATTTCTCTCATTTTCAAGTATGTCCTGTGTCCACAAAACATTGCATCGATACATTAGGGTACAATATTACAAAAATACAATATACAATATATATATATATATATATATATTACAATGTTAAACAAAAATCTGCACACCAGTCAAGCCATTAACAATGATACAGCTGTCCATGAGTGGTTCACCGGCTTTGCATCTTTTCCTAACTTGTGTTTCAAAGCTGTTGTATACAGCAAACACAGACTCAAAGGAATCCATGTTTAAAATGGAATGAGGCAAAAATGTGATTCTTTGTTAAACTAATTTGCATATACCCACCCAGAATCCTTTGTGGTAGTAACATCACTGCAGATTTGGGATTTATGTGGGAAAAGCAAGTCGTAAGGCTTGACTGGTGTGCAGATAGATGTTTAACATTGTATTAACTATCCACAGACTCCCCGCGCCATAACCTATTATCTTGGGCGAGCAAAATGAAGCTCCTTTAATGATGACAATTTTTTTAAAAACTCTCCACTTTATTTCTTGGATGTACAGTCTTAATCGGTGAATGGTTAGAGGTCATGAATCACATTTCTCACCTGCTCAACAACAAATTAGGGGCTAAAAAAGAAATATTCTATATAAACAAAATGAGCAATATGGGGACTTTTAGAGAACTGTTGAGTTGACAATCAATTTGCAAAATGTATGACAAAATAGTCAAATATTTCAAGTGTAGTACTTTTTCAGTGTAGTTTTTTTCTACAATACTGTATTTTATTTGTCAACTATAGTATTTAAATTGGAAACATGAGAAAGGAGAGGCAGACGGTTCTCCTTCATGTGTTTAAATTAATTTGTAAAGGACTGTCTTTAATTACTTATTCAAATGATCCAGGAAGGCAACAGTGATGTTAATTTGCACCTGTCATAAGCATTTTACAAACTCCTTTAAAGGTGGATGTGGTCACCCTAACACATATTGAATGCTGATAGAGCATGGCTTTATTTTAGTTCCCCATCATCCTAGAATTCACATTTGTAACTGCATAGTGTGAGGTCTGAAGTGTTTTAGTTATGCAGGTCCTAAAGTGAGAATTGTTAGCAATTCAAAGTGAATTTCAAATTCAATACCAAAATATCCAAACTGAGCAATTCTCAAAGTCAGCTATGCTTCCAGTTTAGCTATTTTGATCTTAAATTTGAAATTTACTTTGAATTTTGTTTAAATTTCCAACAATCTCACTTCAGTAACTAACCCTGCCTGTAGATTTTTGTGTGCACAAACACACTATTCCTTTTTCCCCCCCCTAATCAAATATGCAATAAAGCTATATTTTGGGAACACAACAATGGAGATTTATCAGTGTTTTGTTCAAAAAAATGGTGCAAACGTGTAAAATGGGAGATGTCACCAATGGAATATACCTGCTGGTTCCACTGGTTTCCATGGTGATTGCTGCAGTTTTAGAACTCTTTGATAAATCTCCTCCATTGTGTCTGTACATCTTAACACTATGGGCACCAAAACAACTTTACCCTAATTTAGTTGTTTTGGTGTATAGTGTATTCCCCTGCAGTCTCACTGCTCAATTTTCTGCCATTTTGTTGCACATAACTCACAAAACCTTCCTAAACACTTCCTGTAAAGTGATATTTAATGTTTAAACTTCCTTTATTGCACAGTCTGTATCATATAAAATTGGTAATCTCCTGCTCTCTTAATAGCCTTCTAGAATCTGCTGGACCGTTCTTGGTGTGATTAAAGCTCAAGCTACAGCTCAAGAAATAAAACATTTCTAAAGTAAGTTAACATCTCATTGAAAATTAAACTTTTTTTCATGTGGGTTGTGTCAGTCACAGTCAGGGGAGGAGAGGCTTGGGCTGCATGGACAGAAACAAAAGTAATTTAAGTTCTAAATGGCAAGAATACATGGGCATGCTCTACAGACAAAAACAAGCTAAAGTTGTTTTGGTGACTATAGTGCCCTTTTAAGCATGCCTAAAAAAATTAGAAAGGGACTTAATCCTACATACCTCATTAATCCGGCTGCTTTGTTTCTCGCTCTAGCTCTGGAATACAAACTTCTTGCTTCTGTCTTCTCCCTTATTGATCCACTAAATACGATTCCATTGACATTCCTAAATGTAAAACAAAACACATGCCACATCATTTTCAAAAATAATGTTTTACTAAATGAGGTTAAGGACCGCATGTCATTATGTGCTTGGTGTTTTTTGTAACGAAGAGGATAAGATCTTAACATTTTAGCATTTTCACTCTTTTTACTACTAGGATCTATTCAGAATTGAACGGAAATATTTTCTTTACGGATTAAAGATTACGGCTAAGGCACTTGAAATTATATATATATGTATATTTTTTTTGTGGAAATATTTGTTTAAAATGATAGCACAATATTGGTGTAGAATAGATTGTCCTAATGAAGGATTAGATCTTTAAAGGAAAACTTTAAATCTGATCGTTCACTCCCCCACCATGGTCGAATTACAAAGGTGGGTGTTACACTGGTCTGCCTGCACTCCTCCTCAGTCTTTGTTGATTTGCCCTGGTTGGCAACACTTCCACAAGCAGGGCTTTGTCGACAGCATGCCAGCATCTTAACAGAGTGAAAGCACAGCACTCCTTTCCTATAAACAGGGCCGGACTGACCTACCAGGCACACCGGGAAATTTCCCACTAGGCCGTCTGCCTTGGGGCCACTGTGGCTGCAACGGCTGATCGAGTGCTCTTGTGGCCACAAGAACACAAAGCACTTGTCCATGCCGGGCGCCGGCTATGCACGTACAGTGTATGAAGTCATATCTGACGGGTGTGCAGCGGCAGTGCTACAGTGCGCAGCGTGCAGTGCAGACCAGCCACTTCCTCCTGCTCACAGTGCCTGCTTGAGCAGAGACAATCAGGGCTGGAACTGGAAGACTGCTCATCTTAAGGTAGGGGAAGGAGGGCTTGGTGGACCTTTTGTTAGTGTATTTAATTGGGGGGTAGTGTATTAGATTGGGGTCAGTGTATTAGATTCGGGGTAAGTGTATTAGATGGGGTACAATGTATTAGAGTGGGGGGCAGAAGAAAGTTTATTAGATTGGGTCTGCATAGAGGTGCTGAGTGCTCGCCATGGAGATACTGATTGGCCACGCAGCGTTTTGCCACCTATACACAATAGCCTCCTAATGCTTTCATATGGGAAAGCATTGGATTTGCTGAGATCATCAAGTTTGATGATCTCAGCCAAAGTGCAGAACACACTCATAGGACTTTAAAATCAACTAGATAACATAATTTGTTTTTAACAGCTGTGCAACAGAATACATTCACCATTTCAGTCACATTACCAATATTTTCTTAATATGTCAAGGTAGTTGGACTGAAACATTGATTATATGCAAATGCGCATCTGCTTAAAATAAATTTGCTCTTTTGGTTACGTTGAAGCCCTACGAGTGCTTTATTTCACGTTAGAGTAATAGTTTTTAGTTTTTAATTTCAAGTTATTTTTTCCGCCTCTATATCTGCACATTATGCTGGTGCAGCACATTATGCTGGCACAACACATTATTGGGCTGGTATACATTTTTTTTCCATGGCTGCTTTTTCATTCCAAGTCTAGCCCTGCCTAAAAGCGCTGGTTAGGGAGTCAACATAGCAACCACAGCTACAAGTGGAGAGCAGAGGGGCACCCTGTTGGAAGTCTCCTCTGATCTCCCTGTCTCTCAGCATTCAGTGTCTGGCAAGGAATTGAGACACTTTGATATTTTTAAATAGGTTTTTTTTTTCCAAATCTACACATTTGCAAAGATAACAGCAAGCACAAAGTATGGATGGAATGTTAGCTTGTTTTAAAAGAGCTAAAGTCAATAACAGATCCTTATTAATACTAGCTCTCAATAATTATAAGACTCCTGGTCATCATACTCTTCCTAGTAAAGATAAGAAATGCTAGCCATGTGATGGACAGTCAAGTCCCAGGAGCTGCAGAACTTACATGGTGAAGTTATTGATGAAAGCACCTTTGGGAATCTGGATGTCAAACGCAAGGCTCCGTGTGGTTTTGTCATTGTTCACCACTTTGCTTCGTATCATGGTATTGGCAAAATGTGATGTGATGGTGGATTCAACTTTATAGCTGTGCAACAAGACTGCATCTGATGAAATGGCCTGTTATGAAAACAAAAAGCAAGATGTTCTTCTTATACCACTGAAGCTTCTTATACCACTATCCTTTTCTAACAATGCTGTTCAATTCAATAAATACTTGTATATATTTTTGCTCATACATTACATTAAAAAGGGTCATTAGCCTCTAGAATGTAAGCTTGTTTGAGCAATGCCCTCAACACTCTCTGTTCCAGTGCGTCCAGCATGTCTTGTTACAAATACCTGTCTGTTAGTCCACCTATTGTACAGTGCTGCGGAATTTGTTGGCGCTTTATAAATAAGAATAATTAGTGGGATGAAAATATAATTTGGCCTCTTCATGAATCAATGGTAACACCACTTCTTAAATATGCTATGCAATTTTGGACATCTGTTCTAAAAAAGGATATTATGATACTAGTAAAAGTACAGAAGTAGGCTACAAAATGAATAAAAGGAATGGAAGATTTTAGTTATGAAGAAAGGTTAACACATTTAAATCTGTTTAGTTGAGAAAAACAGTGCCTCGGAGAGGATATGAGTATTGTACAAATATATTCAGGGCCAATACAAACCATTATCTGGAGAACTGTTCATAAACAGGAAGAGTAGTTATTATGTGGCGTAACAGGTTCTTAATCAAAGGAGAAGTCTGCCTGTCATTCTGGGGGTCTATCATGATTTTCTCCCCTCACCCCAGTTTCTTTTGTATCAACAGCAAAACAGACGAGAGCTATGTAACTATGTCATTACGGACAATAACTACATATACACAACATACCCATACCAACCAGCAGCAGAACTGTATTGAGAATTATTCAATATCGATGACAAGAACTGTGGGGTTTATTCACTAAACATCAAACTGTTGAAAATTGTATTCTAAAGTGGAAACATTTTTGCTTAAATTGGCAAGTGTTGAGTAATGCTCAGTTGGGAAATTTTTGTTAATGATCAGTTTTTACCTAAAGTTTGTAATTTCAGTTTAAAACTGTAATTTCCTGTTCAGTGAATTAAACAAATATCTTATATATTATGCATAATATCTAATATATTAAGGACTCCATCATAAACACTATAGGTATTTAATTATTTCTCATTTAATCGTTGACCTTTCCTAAATATGTACAGTAAAATCACGTATGAACTGATTGAAGCACGAACAAATGTGTTTACCATTGACCTTATTTTTTTCCAATGTCTGCCTAAAAAAGCTGAATGTTTTCACTGGTCCTAGTTGGTGACAGACATGTTTTTCTCATGAAGCAGGTCAGCGACCTTCCAGTCACAGAAATAACAAGATGATAGGTTATCTAACGTTGACCTTGCACATTCAGTAGTCACATACCTGCACATCATCTTCTTCACTCACACTCCGCTGCAAAAAGAATGGGAAACAGAATTAGGCGGTTCAGTCTCTTCAATAGTTTTATAGGTATCATAAGGCTATATATATATATGGCCTTGCAGGAGGACCAATGGAACTTCACAGCCAACAGGGCACTATAGCATTATTAACGCTATACTGTTGCTTTGAACTACACATTTTAGTAGGGTGAACATCAAAGAATTTCTTTTAAGGTGAACATTTGCTAAAAATCTTGCATTAATGACAGGTTGAAATCATAAAAAAAAAACCATTTAATTGGGAAATTGTGTAATTGGGGAAAAAAAAAATTAATAAATTATTCTTAAAAAAATTACAATTGCAGCACAATCTTTGCACCCATTGCTGCATACAATTCAACTGTATATAATTTATGTAACAATTAGAACAACCTGTAATATATTACCCATCCTTTGTTTCTATGGATCGTATAATAAATGTTAGTTATAGGTACAGGACTGCTTGGAACATCCTGTACGATACTGCCAGCAAGTGCATACTGCCAAGTGGCTGAAATCTGTCCAAAGCATTAACTCCAAATTGGAAGGAACATTAAAAAAAACTTGTTATTTATTTACTCTGGCATGTGCTATGTTTTTTTTTCAATGCTAGAACTACCCCCACCCCAGTGTGACAATTATCACTTATGTGGTTATAATAAGAACATAGAAATATTTATACAGCCAGTATCACAACAATCAGATTCTTTTTTTCCCTTTATTTTATTCAGGACCAGCAACAAATCAGGCCTTTAATAATCAAACGTGGTATAAACAGGGGAGTTTCTAGGGGGGAAAAAGATTGGGGATTTAGCCAAGTGTAAATTTTATGGCCCCTCCCCAAGCGCAGAACTTGCAGCAGCGCAGCTAATGTTATAACACTAGGGCCCCAGCGGGTCAGTGGAATTACTATGCCCTCATGGGGACCTTCCTGGTCATGTTAACTTGGCCAGATGTTCCAGTGCCAAAATACAAGCAGGGCTGCAGGGAGGCTCACACGGTGGCATGGGGGAGACAGAGCTCACAGCTAGAGAAGAGCTGGGTTCTGAGTATGGATAAGTGTATATGAGTGTGTGTTATGTGCATATGGGTCCGATCTGTCACTATATATCATGTGTGTCAACCTGTGTATGTTAATGTGTGTCTCTTAGAACATAACTGTGTGTTTAGGTGTCTGAATTCATCTCTATGTGGCAGTGTATGTGTGTGTATCTTTGTGTGGCAATTTATTTATTTATTTATAAAATATTTTACCAGGAAAGATACATTGAGATTTCTCTTGTTTTCAAGTATGTCCTGGGTCATTTGCATTGTTACAATTAGGGTACAATAATATACAAAAACAATATTAATACACAATAAATACAAAATTTAACATAGAACAGGCAGGAAATATATAATCAACCATGACAGGTGCATTCTGTTTTGAGGTATGTAGAGAGGGATCTCTTAATGGACTTTAGGCTTAGGGAAGATTTTAAATTGTGCGGGAGGTCGTTCCACAATTGCGGTGCTCTGTAGGAGAAGGAGGATCGGGCCGCTTTCTTTTTGTATTGAGGTAGACTAAGTAGAGTGTTGGTACTGGATCGGAGCTTATAGGAAGTGGGAACAGCTGAGGAAAGCATTGTGTTCAGGTAGGGTGGGAGTTTCCCAGAAAAACTCTTAAACACAAGGCTGGAAAAATGAAGGGTGCGTCTGGTTTCCAGCGACAGCGATTTATGTGTATATGTGAACATACACATGCATGGAAACACCAACATAACACACAAATATGCCCCCTGCATTGAAACCCTGACGCTACACACAAAGACACCCCTGCTTTCAAACGCCAACATAAACACACAAACTCACTATACAAAAACATGCATTCTTTAACAATCAATCACTTAACACATATACAATCCCACAATGGATGGGCAAGTTGTAGATCTAAAACTGGCAATGCATCAGAGTTGAATGCCAGATGAGATCTACCTTATGTCCATCCCTACTCTATAGGGGGCTATAGGGTGCATAAAACATGTCTTTGCACCAGGACCTCTCTATACTAGTTCCACCACTGCTCCTCCCATATACAGTTACTTAAGTTCCTTCTAAAACCACGCCCTATATCACATCTTATGACCAAACCTAAATGCTAAAATAGACTATGAATCATATTATGACATGAAACATTTTTAATGAATATGTCTTCTTATTAAGTATAAATAAGATGCAATAAGGTTGCACTGTCACAATTTATGCAACTGCAGGTGTGCCAAAACAAGGAATTGCAGAGAGAAAATGATATCGAAATATGTTATTTTGTACAGTTTTTTAATTTTATATGGAGCTATCTATCACCTGTAAGCCTGAATAAAATGCAAAACAAAAAAAATAAAATAAAAAATAAACACCCAGTGACATTTTTGCTCTACGAGAGTATCACATTATACCTTGCACATAAAGTATTAAGTTAAATTGCTTTACACATACATAAGGTTAGCAGATAGTCAAATATATATATATTATTCTATTATGAAGCTGTTTCTTTCCAGCATACTCAATATAGGTTGTTACATACAGGTATTTAGTAGGACTTACCCTTGCTCTATCTTTAAAGCTAGTCTGAAACTCTTCCAAGAGATCTCCGAAGTCCTAAATGAGAAGCAAATATTTAAATAATCTATGATAATCATGCAAAAAAGTTATATTTTTTGGCACAAATTATTCAAGCACATGCAATTCAATTGTTGGTCCCTGAGGAAGTCCATACTCATTGGACGAAATGCGTAGGACCATTTTATCTCTTATTTTATTCTAAGTTTTTAAAAATCTTTATGTGATTTTTCAATCTTTTGGGTATACTTTTATTTATACCTATTGCCAAATAAAGCAAATATCAACCCTTCCTTGGATTCCTGATTTGTGTTCCTGTGACATCCTGATTCCAGCAAAGCAGTCCATACAGAGGGAGAGGAGGCATTATCCCCCCAATACCATTGGGGGAGGCTCCCTATTAACTTCACATTATAGTGAGTCCTACCAGTAAAAGTGTCATTATTTATTTATGTTGACATATTGCACTATGTACTGTTCATTTACTTTTTAACAGCTGTATCCCAATTGTTTCATGAGTATATATGGTTCTTTAAGAGGTTGCTATCTGGGAGGTACCTTTGGGAAGCTGAATGGTTATATTATGTTATTATATATTTTATTTCCACTTCACTTGGGTTGTTTAGGTGAAGGATGCTGTACATTATATGCAATTCAAGCAATAAGCAGGCTAAATGTGAATAAATGAGGGTCATTACTGTAGAAAATTCATAGGACATAGCTGACAATGACTACATAAACATGATTATGATACCATTATAATGTGCATTTAAAAAAACATGGTGTTCCCACTACATCTTCAGAAGCAGTTATTGCTCAGTAACTGTGCCTTGAACATAAATACATTTCACCCCATCAGTTCCTGCGAAATGCCTTACAGGGAAATGATCTATACTAAATAGAATAATATAAATCAAAATCACTATGAGCTTAAGAATAAAAGGATTAACATTCAAGGCACAATTACTGAGCAGAAGGATGCTCAGGATAATGTGAGTATTGAAGGACTTTTTCTATGCTTGCTTGATACTCTACTATTTGAATATAATACCTATTATTACTATTATTATAGATTATAACATTTATATCCCAGGACATATTTAAAGCATTAGAAAATGCTCTCCATGCTTTCCTTTTCATATAAAATATGTTTTCATTATTATTGTCTTCAGTTACGATATATCTTCGAAAACAATAAAATATAGACAATAGGATAGGGAAATATTTCAAATGAAATATACACATATTCAAGTTTTGTGCATATTTTTCATGTAATGTCCCTGCAAAGCATGAACAGACTGTGAGATTACTTGATGAGTTAATAAAGAATATACAATGATTATGCAGCAATTTGAATATTTCATATAAGAATTGGTTGTGAATCCAATATTTTAATGGTTATTGCAGGCCATCTTATGTGTTAGAAATGGTATGTATGTATGTATATATACATAAAAATATATAATATTTAATTTCTCTCTCATCTATTTTCAATGCATTGTAATTTGTAACTATATCTACTGAAGCTCAAGTGAATTCTAATAAATACTTTTGTTTTCTTGCCTTTAAACTTCATGTACCTCAAGGAAACATTGAGAGACAGATATAAACATATATATTAGTGATATCTTTTTATTAAGAAACCCAGATATAATTTTAAAGATTACAACATATTTAATTTAAAACAAATTTCAAAGATCAAAAATATTTTCAATATTAAATTAAAATAAAAACGAGTTGCTATAACAAAATACATCCAAATGCTATGAAAAACACCCAGTAGTCCCTCAGATTAAAACACAGATTTTAACAAAAGAAGAATACGGATTTTATCCAAAATAAAGATGACAGTGCTGCTAGACTGAAACTCTTTACCAAAACTGTGAAAGTTAACATGGTAGTTCATGAAAGCTTTTCAGCATTAAATAAGATTTAAAGGAAAAAAAATTAACTAAAACAAATAGAAATATATTACAAATATAAAACAAACGTATCAACCTGTATAAGCTTTCCATATTATAAAATAACAATATAGAAAATACCGTAAGTATAATATAAATACATAAAATGCATATAATATTAAAATATTATTCTAAAATTATTTAAACTCATATCACTTATTTTATCTTTTTCTTTTTTTTTATGTAATTATAATAAATGTATCTGAGAATGATACATTCCATTGTAGCAAAACAATTTAGAGGAACAATAATACAAATTATACATGTATAACCCAAAATACGAACTAAATTAATGTTATAACATACTTACATCAGAATCAGGCGACTCTTCTATGTACAAGTCAAAACTTCTTATTTCAGAAGTAAATAATAAAAGAAGAAAAAATGAAAGACGCAGCATTTTTCAACTCTGAAACCAGAGAGAACTCCTCTGGCCTTCTTATGGTATTAAACACCAAATAAGGCGAAATTCACGTTACGGTGGAGTTTATAAGATCTCTCTCTTTTAAAATGTAAAATAATAAACTTTGTTCTGACCCAAAGCAAATATTTGCCAGGTAAAGTAAGTTAGAGTTAGGACAGGGACTGAGAGGTTGTACAAACAGACAGTGTAGGTTTATCACATGATGATAACCAGGGAGCCTCAGATAGAAGAAATTTCGTTTGTCACTTTTACTTTGAAGTTATATATTTTTTACATATAACCTTCACATAAAGGCATTGCCATGTGTCTCTGGGGGTGGCGGCCCAAAGTAGAATGCAAAATCTCAACAGAAAATTTTTTTAAGCTTCAAAACGTAGAATTGAAAGACACATTCTAATAAAATGAATAAATTAAGATTTTATAAACATTAGTGAAATATGATTGGTCTATAACAATCCAAACAAAAATACCTATGCTTACTAATGTGAGTAAGTTAACCATGTGAGTTCTTACTCCTTTAAAAATGGAGTGATTTCACGATGTGGGGTGAACATTTATGTTTTATATTTATGTTTCTATCTGTTGATATATTCTCTCATGTGGGGTATGTTTTTAGCTTACCAGGGGGCCCCCTGGGGGCTCTATCACACTTAAAGTCACTGTATAAGCCAGCGACTTCTCATTTACAGTATACATCCTGCTTGACAACCTATAGTGATTAACCTTAAGCGTAGCTAGTGAAAGCTTTGTGTTTCAGTGGAACATAGGATAGATGTCAACTTGCTGACCCAGGTTGATGGTGCGACCAGCGCCATGCATTCCTATCGCTCCACTATTAGCAAAATGCAGACAAACACAGTACACTAGACACAAGGCACACATACAGTAACTATCTTGGCACAGAACCACAAAAGGGGGCAACTGATTGTGCCATGACACGGTCTTACTCCCTATATTCCGACTAAGAGAGCCTACTCCGTCAGGATGCTGAAAGCAAATTAGTTAACAGTTTATTATAGTTCAGACATATCGGCCTAGCTTATCATTATGTCTTTTCAAAACAAAAAATGTGCAAATTCTCTATGCCACTGTTTCACCTATCTATGTTCTCTTATTAATGCACGCTGTTGTGGCGTATGAATATGTTATGTACCGACCTGCACAACAAAAATAAAGAATTTAAAAAAATAAATAAAAAAATAAATGGAGTGATTTAATGGGCATGTGAGCATATATTGTAGATATGGTTGAAGGCTATTAACGAATGTCACTATACAAAATTTACAAGATAATGTGACCTTGATCATGGAAACTTAAGACCTTAAATCTGGAAAAACAGTTCAAAGTTATGGATAAAAACTATTACTGCTGTTTCAGCATGAAAAGAAAAATACATAGAGTCAAAATGTTCTCATAACAAAGTGAGAGCAAGGCCACTGGATGTAAAACAGTATCTTACATGAAAAGTGGTAGATAGCTACAGTAAAAGTGCATTTAACAAATGGTTATAATAGAAATAACATTGCCAAATGTTGCAATATGAAGAAATAGCTATAAATATCGATATCTAAGCTATATAAGGCTATTCCTATAATCTACAAATAAACCAGGAAATCAAACAAAAATGCCTACAACTAGCTTTAATAAATGCAATTGGCCAATGTGATCATATGTTAGGTATAAGGGTAAAAAGTCCTAGGTAGTGACTTGTTAGATTAATATCATAGGAAGGGGTAAAGCTCCTGACATATAGGTATCCTAGTATACCTAGTACTGTGCCCTCCACCAGAATTCCTCTGGCCCTCTCTTGATACATGAGGATGGAAGCTTTTACTCCCATTTTCAGTTCATTCACGTCTTCCGCTTGGGGTTGGATTACTTGTGGATTTAAGGTGTATGGGGGACTGAGACGGAGTCCTCTCAACTTGGTATGCCGGCGCAGGTAGTTCAGGTAGATCAGGTGGTAAAAGTCTGAGTGGTTTGTTTTCTATGTCTGCCCTGCCAGTCTTCTGAATTGATGTTTCTCTCCACAGGTCCAGTTCCCCCCAGGGTTTGGGTGATTGGGCATTCCTACGTCTTTTGGGTCTCAACCTCTCCTGCTTTATAGGGTAAACTTCTAAGTTACCTATTTGGACATTCCCACTTAGCTAGAAGCCTGCTAATGGTAAACATTGGAAGGAAAAGGGAATTTGGTGGATGAGGGGGGGAGGTGAGAACCCTCTGGGGCAATTTTGTGCATAGGCATATGGTTAGTTCTATTGGCAAGGATGTTTTACTTTAGTTAAATACTATATGACACTATGTATTAATTAATATGTTAATTTATGGGTTATTTATGTATTTATGTTTGGTTATATGAATGACAATAATAAGGTTTATAGATAAAATTATGGATGTGTAATGCAGCATTTATCATATGTTATAATAAATGCTGTGGCCTGTTTCACCCAAATATGGTGTCTGTCTGTCGTTACTGGGGTAGGTTCTGAACTTCTCATGCATGTTTCCCAGTTCCCACTATGTACACACATGTGTGAGCTAGGAATTCCCTCTGCTTATGTCAGTACTGACATAAGCAGAGGAATGCCTAAAGGGGTGAGGTTAGGAGTTGGGGTTAGGGGATAACATTGGGAGTAGGATTAGTGGACAACATTAGGAATAAGATTAGAGGACAACATTAGGGATACGTTTAAGGGCAGGATTATAGTAAAAGGTGTAGGGTATCATTGTACTCGAGAACAGTAAATGACGAAATAAACTGGGAGGAGAGAGGAGGCAGGCAGCTAGAGAGCGCTGATTATGTGCTTATAGTTCCAATATGACGCCTGTCTGTCCCTAGTATCACTAAACGGTAAATGAGGGAGCAGTGAGGAACTGAAAGATTATACGGAGAAGACCCCAGTTGGACCCCAGGGACGGGACCCACACCAGCTCTCTCAAAGGTAGGGAGGCTGGATAGGCCTAATAAAATATAACCACACTATATAAAAATAATTAAAATTTTTGAGTGTGTGTGCAAGAATATGTAAATGTGTGAGTGTGCCTGTCAGTGTGTGTGTGTCTGTTAGTGTGTGTCTGTCGGTGTGTATGTGTTTGTCTGTCAGTGAGTGTGTCTGTCAGTGAGTGTGTCTGTCAGTGTATGTGTGTGTATCTGTAGGTGAATGTGTCTGTCAGTGTATGTGTATCTGTCAGTGTATGTGTGTGTCTTTCAGTGTATGTGTGTGTCAGTGTCTGTCAATGAGAGTGTCTGTCAGTGAATGTCTTTCAGTGTATGTGTCTGTAAGTAAGTGTGTCTGTTAGTGAAAGTGTTTGTCAGTGAGTATGTCTGTCAGTGAGTGTGTCTGTCAGTGTATGTGTGTATTTCTATCTTTCGGTGTGTTTGTCTGACAATGAGTGTTTCAAATCGGTGAGTGTGTGTCTGTTATTAAGAGTGTGTGTGTTATTAAGAGTGTGTGTGTCTGTCAGTGTGCATCTGTGAGTGTATTAGTGAGTGTGCATCTGTGTGTGTCAGTGTGTGTGTGTCTGTGCGTGTTTCAGTGTGTATGTGTGTGTGTGTGGGGGGGGGGGTGGGGCACTGTATGAACACTCAGCAATCAAACACCAACTGTACATACAAACACAAACACCAAACACAAGTACACCACTGCTTTCAAATAGAAAAAATAAATACAAACATACAACTGCATTCAAATGCCAACACTACGCACAAATACATACATACATTCAAATACACATTCAAAAAAGTTGCAAAGCACTTTTTAAACAAATGCTATAATCTTTACAAGAATTGTATTAGCCTTACATCCAGATGGACAGGGTGGATGGGCAGTGCCAGCACAACCATTAGGTAAACTAGGTATTCGCCTAGGGGGCGCCCACCGAGATGTTTCCTTGTGGGCTGCCCCTGTCTTGTGCCGCAGCGCTGGGCTAGAGGCTCTTGAGCTGCTTCCCCAGCGCCAGGCCGATCCTCCAGGCACCCGAAGGTGGGGGCGCCCAGAGGAGCCCTGTCATAGGGGGGCAAGGAGGTAGCCATCTGGCCACCTCAGGGTGCCCCCGAAGCTGTCCTTCAGTATGGCAGAGCAGGCACCTGCTTACCTTGATGACAGGTGCCTACTCTGCCGAAGAATGCCGGAGGAGAGGAGGCAGGCAGCGGCAGGGTGGGTGATGAGGGAGGCTATTCTTGCAGCTTCCCACTTCTCCCTCGCACACCCTCTGTGATGCTGGGAGCCAGAATATGATGTAATTCTGGCCCCGGCATACTAAACAGCGTGCTGGAGGAGTGAGAAGCTGCCCCACACTGGACCCCAGGGAGGTGGGTTATGCGAGTGTGTGTGTCAGTGAGTGTTTGACTGTCAGTGACTGAGTGTGTGTCTGTCTGTGTGTTTTTTCCAGTGAGTGAGTATGTGTGTCAGTGAGTGAGTGTATGTCTGTCAGTGAGTTTCTGTGTGTGTGTCTGTCAGTGAGTATCTGTGTCAGTGAGTGAGTGCAAGTCTATCTGTGTCTGTGTGTCAGTGAGTGTATGTCAGTGAGTGAGTGTATGTCTGTCAGTGAGTATGTGTGTCAGTGAGTGAGTGTATGTCTGTCTATGTCTGTGTGTCAGTGAGTGGGTGTATGTCAGTCAGTGAGTGTATGTCTGCCAACTTGGCTAGAGTGTCACAGTTCAGCTGTTTTTGCGTAAACTTTGCAATTTGATTTTTAACTCACTGCAATTCAGATTGTAGTGAATAAACCTCTGTAACATTGTATTTGCTTTCATGAGGGGGCAGCATAATGGATCTTTGCCTAGGGCGGCAGAAATCCTTGCACCGGCCCTGTGGATGGGGGCTAAGGGTGTGTGGTACATGGGGAGGGAAGGGCGCAAAAAGTTTGTTCTGTCCCGGGCATCCATAACCCTGGTTACACCACTGGTGTGGTCTGTGAATTTCCCGAAAATAAACTCACAAAAAAAATAACTAATTTGACCTAGGTTTCTGATAAATAGCTAAATGAAGTGTCAAAATGCTCTTAGCTACATAGCTTGGGGAATGTACTTTCTGCAAATATATACTTTTGTGTAGGGGTTTTGGATTCTGTGACTACAATTAAAGTTGTATAAGGGGGAAATACTGGTAGAATGAAAGCATGGCAAAAGTGCCAAAAGGCTTTGGTCACAAATGATGCGGCTCAAAAAAAAAGCCATACTCTTTAAGGGGTTAAGCACGCTTTTATGTTTGAATGCTAAACAACTGGCCCA